ACTTTCACTCTAGCTAAAAAGACTAAAGATTTTCCTACAAGCAATATGCTTTCTGTTTCCATCAATAATTATTTAAAATCAGAAAGAAATGATTATGCAATCCATATTTCCTAAATTCTTAAGAACTAAGACTCATATCTACTTATGACCCTCCCGATTTCTTAATGAGTCCAGTTTCCTTCAATATTTAGATACGTTTACAATTAAACTGCACTATAAAGTGATCAGTTTCTATCTTATTAGATTCTTTGACAGATCTTTCCACAAAATTCGATTGAGTATCGTTCCTTTGTCATGTTCATATTTGCAACCAAAATTTAACTTTGGATTACATCTGCATATTTCTCGGGTTCCGAAATTGCTGTGAAATCTAGCTGTAAAAATGCTAAAATCAAATACATTCAAACACTTTTCGTTGCTATAGTTTTCTATGTAACAGTAAGACTACAGTAAAGAATGGTAAACAAAGATCAACAAAGAATCCATCGCAAGAAGCCAATTTCAAGATAACTTGTATTAAATCTCAGCATACAAATTCATAACAATGTGTCTAATAAAGTTTTTGAAGAAAATTCATTTCAGGTATAAGCAACGCAAGGAAATTTTTCAATGCAATCATCTTGAATAAAATTCAAAATATTTGCTACTTCTTCACGTTTCTTTAATCTGATCTTATTGTTTAAGCTCAGAAATAATAAACTGAACATGTCCTAAATTCTAGTTTAAATTTCTTCAGAAATTACTGTTTTAAGCGCTTGTTATCCCATCTTTCGTGTCTTAGACTTTGAAGAGTCGGATAATGGCTCAAAAACATGAATCTGCATTCCCGATCGTTGGTTGAAAAGCTGAAAACTTCACATGATTCCCAACTAAAGTACATAGTATCTATCCTGAGTCAAAGTCAATGTTGTAATATAGGCTATTTTATAAAGAACCTAGGTCAAGATCCAGTTCCTATATTCAGTCCCTAATTTGGGACCTCTTTTGCTCATATTATAGTGCCAGAAGTTCACTTAACAGGTTCTTAACTTCAACTGCATGTTTTTCGCCATGAATGTAGCACAAGTGCAAGATAAGCAAAAATTCTGAGTTTTGCTGTAAAATGTGGCTAGAAAACAAGGACAAAACACAATAAAGGAAAAAAAGTCTGATATTTGTAATAGCACGATGTCGATCAAGAAGTAGCAAGTTTTCTACATTGATGTGATCTGATACAATAAAGTCTTCACTTGCATCTTTGTATAGGACTCAGAATTCTCCAAGCTAGGTGTTCAATCTCATCCCTTGTCCAGTAAAAAATTAAAATTAAAACGTTCCGCAGAGTTTTGTCTCTTGAGCAGTAAAGTTTCTTATTTGTTGCCTTCTTCGTGTGAGTTCCTTATAAAAAAGCGGGTAGAGATGGTTGCTTCTGTATGCATGCACATTTATCATGCAACCATATAATTCAATATTGAGATGGGTGCTAACGCGTCTATCAATTTCGACGAAAACAGTTAGATGCATGGAAAGTTTGATAATCTCTTTTACAGACAAAGAAATTAATTATCTTGTTAGGGAGAAATACATCTTATAAACTGATATTTTTTGAAACTAAATCATTTTTGCAGCATTTTGTCTTTATAATCTAAAGAAATGGACAAAAATTCCCTGCCTATGTGACAGACCAAAATACAATTGCGACAGACCAAATATGCACTTGTGACAAACCTAATATATGTTTTGCTTTGTAACTCATTGGTTTTCAGTAGACAGTCTTTGTGGGGAAAAGACAGAGTGTATAAGTAAATTAGAAGCAAGCGAAAACTCTGAAATTATCAATTAAAGGCAATATTGGTGTTTTTCCATGGCCTATGTTAAAGTCAAATACGTCAGATGGTCTCTCCAGGAATAATTCTCCGTGCTTTCAATAGTGCGTTTATTATACCTACTGACTGGGCTATAATTGCAGAGGTTTAGCATGCAGGTCAAAATTTTGTTATCATGCTATTAAATCATTTCGTGCTATTTCTCTTTCTTTGAACAGAAAGACACACCACGCCTTCATTAAAGTTTAAACCCTAACAATAATCAACGTGATATTGCAAGTTTAATTATAATTTACAGGAGCCAAAAAGAGTACAAATTTCTTTTGAATTTTAGATCTTAAAACCCCTTTGAATGCTTACATATATCTGCTATCTTACAAACGTGTAACTATATGAGTGGGTGTTGTGTGCTTAACTCTCTTTGAATTTCCTTTTATGACAATGCACCTCTTGCCATGCATACTAATTCTATTACCAAAAAATATTAAACCTATCTCTTGTTTTCAATTAGAGCCCACATGCACTTAGCAGCTTTAAACAGAGCTCGCCACTGTGTTTTGTCTGTTCAGTAACAAGACTCATTCATTATGCTATAGTTAATGAATTAATCAAACATCTTTATGTGTTTGAAGATCTGATTGAAATGTCTTAAAAGTTACGGGAAATTTTGTCTTATTTCTAAAATGATAATCTAAAATAATATTTGTCAATTGAAAGCATTTGAAAAAATAACAAAGTTACTTGTTATGACTTTTGGTCGAAGGTACGTTTTAAACAATTGAAGCTTTAATCACCTATTATTTCTATTTTGTCCTGAAAGTGAAAATTTTGTTGCTATGACTTTAAAGGACTGAACTCTATGGGGTTTGAAAATTTTATTGAGAGTGAATACATTCAATTTTTGCATTTTTAATATAGCATATCTTGTTTTGTCAAAAACCTGAGAAAGAAAGATGCTGTGAGTAGGAAATACCAGGGCTTCATCCTTCTGGAGGGTGCGTGAACATTTCGTAGTAGTTAAGGTGAACGTATTTAAATATCTGTCTCACGCTTTATCCCTGGGAGTCGAGTTTTGACCATTTCACGACGTATTTTTCGGGAATTTTTTGTTGAAGAAAAAAGCAAAGAAAAACTGTTTTGCTTAAACTGTTTCTACATCAGCACGAGAGAAGCGGTAAATATGTTTAGACATACACTGTGTATGTTATGTAGACAGTCGGGGCCATTATAAAGGTACGAGTTTAGTTTCTACCAAACTGATACATCCATCTCATTCAGTTCCCATAATAACCTGTTGTAGGACTGTTGACTTGTATTTTTAATGTCAATTGAAGCGTGTTTCTAGAGCATTGAATTTGAATATATTGATTGCGTGGTGACCACACAAAATACAGACCACAGAGTGTATTGAGTATGTGTGTTGTTTTGCTTAACCAAGTTTACAGTCGCCAGGATGGCGCTTGCATCAGGCAGGTTTGTTAGGAAATGGGGTGTTCCTACGTCCAATTTAGCATTATGTTATGTTATGTTATGTTATGTTGTGTTATGTTATGTTATGTTTGTTATGTTATGTTATGTTATGTTATGTTATGTAATGTTATGTTTGTTATGTTATGTTATGTTATGTTATGTTATGTTATGTTATGTTTGTTATGTTATGTTATGTTATGTTTGTTATGTTATGTTATGTTATGTTATGTTATGTTATGTAATGTTATGTTTGTTATGTTATGTTATGTTATGTTATGTAATGTTATGTTATGTTATGTTATGTTATGTTATGTTATGTTATGTTATGTTGTGTTATGTTATGTTATGTTTGTTATGTTATGTTATTTTATGTTATGTTATGTTATGTTATGTTATGTTATGTTATGTTATACTTTACTGTCCTTTCATTTTATTACAACGCAAAAATCCCAGTCATATTTTTAATGTGTTAATGTAATACCTTTGAATTGCTTTGTAGCATATTTTTTCAGTTTCGTTGTCGAAAAAGGTGTGATCGTTAAGATGAACACAACAAGAAAGGTCAATGAAAATAAAATCTCTGAAAAAGGGGGGCTCCAGCCCCCCAGCTCCCAGCCCCCCAGCCCCCCAGCCCCCCAGTGGCGCTGTGCCTGCTGCTAAGAGCGCTTTTGATTTAGTATAGAAGTATCAAGCGCATGACTGTCTCACTTAGGATGTACCATCCCCCGAAAAAGACACATTGTATGGACTGCATTGCTCTAAAAGGGTGTTATTGGAGAAAATTTAAATCGCTTTTCGAGCCTCTTGTTATAAATAATACTTCTAAATTATATCCTTCAGAGCCCCTGCATGTTATTAACTCCAACACATATTTTTGCCTTCTCACTTTGTAAGAGTATCTTGTTATTATTAATAGGACAGTATAAAAACAAGTCTTATGTGTACTAACACTAAGTAAGGCTTGTGATTTTCATCTTGGAAACAAAAAGTTTCATCGTACCGCCTTTTGTAAAGTAAATAAAGAATAGGGTACAATTTTTTTGGGCCTGACTTGAGGCAAGGGTGTGAACCTCTTTTGTCGTGGGCATAGCGGAAGGTAAACGTTTAGTGGGGCTTAGTATGGGTCTTGCCCGAATATTCTTGCTTTATAGGAATATAAATGTCTGACTGGACCTGAAGGACGACAGATTTTGGTTAATTTGGGAGGAGGGCTGCACCCCCCTCCCCCGCCCCTATGTCTTCTACGCCTATGTTCTTTCTCTAGGGTCCTTCATCCACTAGAGACTACAAGTGCAACTTCAATAATCACTTCTATACAGCATTTTCTGGACATTCAATTCTTTAAGACTTTCCACGTTCACACGACATGATGAATTTGATGAACCAAAATAACGCCTTTAAAGGCGGTTTGTAGCACAGCTTGCATCATGCTGGAAATAAATCCTGTCCAATTCACATACAGCATATATTTCTTCAGAACAAAGTAGATCTCATGAAAAGATCCTTGCAGCTTATGGCATCGAAAGAATTCCTGTGAAAGTGTTTTTAAAACGGCACGAACGCCAGGGAAAGCCCAGTTGTCAGCATTCTAGGGAATGGGTTGGGCCGATTTGCAGAAATAGCAGCTCTAATGTCACGACATTTAATTGTAAATGTTGAGAGATCTGTCGATGTTGGCATGACAACGACAGGTGTTTCATAAATTTATCATGACCAACGGTGGAATTATTTCGGAATACTGCATCAAGCTGTACTCAATGATGTGTTTTCGAGCAGTTTGAACAGATAATTTATCTGCCTTGGCATTCCATCAAAGTGCATATTGAAGAAATTCTACAATAAACTTCGCAGAAGAACAGATTGCAGAGAGAGTCAGGGGATTTTTGTGTGGAGCTATTTCTTGTTAATTCGCATTCAGTACCACTCAGTATACATAAACTGGCGAGCGACCAATCAAATTGCTCGCTTAGAAACCTCAACTCTGTATGGGATTCCATCTGTATTCTGGTTATCTTTCAAGTGATAAAGCGAATTCAAGTCACCTGCTAGCCAAGGTTAATTGCCTCTTGTTTGCTTGGTGAATCGCCATGACAAACGCTTCTTAAAATCGTCAAGCAGTATAAGCGAATAACGGTGAAGCAGCAATAGCAACGAAATGGCAAACGTCTTCTTGAGAACGAGTTCCTTAAAACGCAGGATTTAATCCGCATGAGGATTGTTTCTTTACAGACTATTATTAAACACAGATGTCCTTTACGAATAAAATTGCTTAGCCAACACAAGTAGTTTAGCTAGCTGCCTTACTCATGCATAGTTAGCCACTCCAAATTAACCAGAAAATTCAATTGTTGCGCGGTGGAATTTCGTCTCAAGGATACTAGCAGAAGGAAGTAGACGCTGAAGACGCCTGCTTTAAGCAGCTAAAGTTATGGTTATTGATCAAAAATAAGACAGGAATAGACGGATCTGCCTGAAGATAGAAGACTTGACTCTTCTCTGGCTGGAATAGAAGATGTTCTACAATGTGTCAAAAGGAAGGCACTCAGCAACTGATGAAGGTCGGGAAAGTAGAATTAGTCGGTCGGATGGAAGGGGGAGTCGATTAGAATCCGATGGCAGCCGGCGCAGCAGGACTCCAAGTACGTTGAGGGCTGGGTACGCTGATGGGGAGAATGAAGAGGGCATACCGTTCGAAGAAGCTTTGGAAGAGGAAGAATTGGATGAATATATTTATGTACCGCAATGTATGCTTGGAAAACCATTAAAGGATTTTGATAGTGGGCAGGAGAATGTAAGTATATCTTGGTCTGTTATGACATATGCTCAAACGAAATCACTCATCAGTTTTGTATGACTGTTAAGAAAAGAAGTTTGCCTGTGGCTTTTGTGGAAGGCTTAAAACAGAATAACAAACATAAGTGCGACTGAAGTCAGGGATGTGTTTCCACAATCTTTTTATATCGATCGGCCCAAATTCTTTCATTCAAGAAAGGCCCAATAGGCTTGCATTGGCAACATGCTAGATTTATGCGTTGAAAAGGAAAAAGAAAGAATTTAAACTTGAAAATAATCAATGCCAGTTTTCTTTTGAAAAGTCAGTCGTCATCTCCCAATGCGTCGCTTCAATCTCTAGCAGCACATGACCATGCCCCGCCATCAATTCCTTAAAAACTCTGTTATCCATCAAAATCCATCTTTATTTGTCAAGCCCTTTAAAGGAGACAGGCTTAAAGATTTGAAAGTCAAGGCCATTCAAAAAACCATTGTTTGATGTCTGAAACAAACTTTGCCCACCGTCTACATATGCCAGATTTAGCTATGCATATATTTCTTGGTAAAAGATAGCAAGAATTCAAAGCATAGAATTCAAATTTTATAGTGCTTTTGAGTGTGTAACCTTAAAGAAATATGTTGAGACAAGCTAAGAGTCAGCTGACCTTCATATCATACACGCATAGGCGTTGATAAGGCGATTGCCTTATAGAAAACATTTGAAGAATGCTGGACACTAGTGGAAAAGGAAAATAGTACCAGAATAGGAAAGTAAATAATTAGAGAAAAAATCTAAGCAACATATTTATCAAAAACAACAAAGACAGGTTACACTTTGTTCAATAATGCAATCATTGAATGAGCAACGTATGTTGTTTAATCCAAAGTGCTACCTGCTTTAAGAAATTTTTACACAGTTTATGCTTTGTGTAAAAAGCCTTTCTGCGTTTTGTATAAAAAGCTTAGCTATGAATTGCGTCGGTCTTGATGTGCTATATTTGTGGACTGTAGAAGGATGCTGCCCGAAAACCGCAGCTGAGATGGCTATACCTGAGGCGACATCATCAACATAGAAAAAAAATATTTGAGCAAGGTGTCTTAATTGCAAATATTGTTTCGAAAAATGATGTTACTGGAAAAGTAAGAGTTATTACCAGTGCGGAGGAGTAAAGAATACAAAGCCTAGTAGAATTGATGAAATCATAATCATGATGATAGAAGTCAAATACCATCATGATAATGATGCATTTTGAAAACGAATCAAGCAACAACTGAGAGCTTTAACTGTCAAAAAGACTATCTCATGTTTGTCCATTCAAAACTTTCTTGCTAATCTTCAATAAATACTTAAGGTGCAAAAGTCTACAATATTTCGCAATCACCAAAAAGAATTTATAGTATTCTATTGTCATGGCAATAACTCAATTACCTAACAATGCTGTTTCTTCATGTTTTAAGAATATGTTTGGGATGATAGCTCTGTATTCAACGAGAAACAGGTACTTTACCGCAGCCTATTGTCTGTATGATTGCTTCGGGTTTTAATTCTCCAGTCTGAATACACATATTAAACAGGCAGATGTCTAGAGCTGCTTTTCTCAACTATTTTAATGCCATGACTTTATGCAAAAGACTCACTGAATAGTTTACTTTAAGAATGTTATCTCAAACATTGTTCTTATGTAACAAAGGTTTTCAGTCTAGAAAAAAACACATTGATGCATTCAGTTTTCGCCAGAGAGCACTGTTTAATGTTATCAAATAGACGTTACCAATAGCAATAACGACTTGCAACTTCACGATCGCAATAAATTTTCTGATATGAAGTCGTGTTATATAAGTCTTAAAGCAATGTTATTTTTAGCTTTCAATGTATGGTTGTACAAAACGCAACATTTTCAGCCTGAAAACCGAGTTGACTAATGAATACATATTTGCAAAGAGAGAAAGAGAGTAACAGGCGAAGCTGTGAAAATATTAGGTACTCAAGTTTCAGACCTGGGCCAATAAGAAGAAAGTTGGGTTTTTTTTACCAAAGTGAGATTTTTGCCAAACGTGCTATCATATTGTAATTACTCTAGCCAAGGAAACTGTCAAAAACATAGCACTTAATGTTACCTCAAAATTTCTATAGGTAGAAGGTTCTTTATTTTCTTTTCAAAGCTAAATATAAATAAACACCAAAGTTCATTGCTTTTTAGTATGTTTTACAGCTTATAACCAATGTGAAAAGTCATTAGATTTAACAGAAACTAAAAAATTGCATATTTAGGCAAAAAAATTGTTTTATACAAATTCAGCAGAGAAATTGCTTGAAACATTTAAACAACACACTGGTGGCATTGTAAGCCAATATATTCAAAAGAAATAACAGATGAAAGCAAAAGAAGATAAAATGTTTTGCCAAGTTTTTGGTTTATAAATTGCTGCGCTGTTTTTTCTAGTGAGTTTTTTTTATGGAAACAGTAACCATATATTGCAAGGTTAAATTATATAGACAATTAAAAGAGCTTTGCATATTCATTACTGCAGAAAATTAGTAAAGTTTTTCTTGATGCAAGCTCGTAATTCACATATTAAGCTATTGCTTTCTAGACTGAAGCTGTATCTTAAACAATACATGCCTATCACACGAAGGAAGATAAATAAATAAATATAATATAGATGAACAAATAAAATGCTTTAGGGAAGAAAATTGATGCTCGCAATTTAGAAGAAAATGCTAGATTTTATTAACTGATGCATTTAAAAAAGAATTAATCAATTAAAAGAACTAGGGCACATCTAAATCAAATGGCATTAATGCATGTCATTTTAAGGTTCATTCTGAGTTTTTGATGAGCAGATAGTCTCAATAAGAAAAGTTATTTGTTCCTTAAATAGATGAGAGGCAATCAACTAGCAAGGCTGTACGTAGGAATTTTTGATGAATTATGTTTCTGAAATTTGCTGATGTTATTTACACGTTCTAAATGTTTGTCAGTGACAAGCTTGTATCAAATGTGTCTTATGTGAATTTGCTCAAAAAATAGTAACTGATTTAAGAAAAATAATAATATTGGCTAGAAATAGTGAACCTGTAATGTTTGAAAATAAAGTAATGTAACCTCAAAATCGAGCCTGATAATTAAGAATGGAGGCTCTTGCGTTTTGCCTAAAAGTTCCTTCATCTAGCGCTAACCAGTGGTAAAATCGAGCATTTGATTCTGGGCATTGTCATCTATTTGCTATTAGGGAGAAATTGAATTGAAAACTCCTAAATCATCGCCAATGTTAAAAAACTCTTAAATCATTTACAATCAATATGTCTTCCCCAAAGACTTGATAATCACGATCACTCATATCCTACGTCATGCCTATGAACTGCTGAATTAGGTTCTTTCATGATTAGGCCATTAGCTATCGACAAAGTTTTGTAAACATATCATCAGGCTTTTGGGTTGTTCAAAGATTATTTCTCAATTTCGTCGTAATGCAGGTGTTACAGCTATTAAGTTTTGACTGTCCTTTCAAAAGCTACCTGTACCACCTTGCATAGTTTTTTTCAATTTTATTGAAACTTTGAGATATCTCTTCAGACTAGCTTTAAACATCAGTTATTCTTGCTTGAACAGAAGAATGGCAAATGAGAATAGCTCTAGATTTTCAGCCTGTACTTAGAATGGTGTGAGACTTAAAGTTGTTTAAGAAACAGCCTACCTATTATCTTGCTCATTAGTGGCAATTATTCCTCTCTAAAGGTAGTCACCTGCTTTTCACTGATCTCTAGTTTTATGCTGATTTCTCCTCATTGAAATTTTTGATGAATTGTTTTAAAATCCTGTCTTAATTTGAATTTCATACCTAGACACACTTCAAAAATTATTCGCTTGCTATCACAAGATTGAAGTCTTGACCAAGCAAGAATTATTTTCATTTACTTGATCAGGGCTACACAACAATTCATGATTTTTTAATAAAACATGCCTAGCTCTTTATATTGATAAGTAACGTGCAGATATTACGTCAATATAACGCTGATAGTTCTTTACACTAACCACCCATTCTGTCTCTCTCTCGGTACTTATTAAAATTCATTTCTCTATGCTAACTTAATCTAGTATGTCTTTCTCATGCTACATTTGTACTACCTACTGTATCCGCAATGCTTCAAATAGCAATCAATGCAAGGGAAATTTGTTGCAAACATGTTGTTTATTCGAGATCAGAGTAAGGCTGAAATGATTAATAAACAAGTAATCGTGGTTTGAGCTGTTTTGCAGCAATGCATATCTCCATGATGACAGCGAAATTAGATCACTGTTCTGGCACACTCCTCGTCTAAAACTGATCAAAGTAAATTCCATTGAATGAAGAATGAAAAACTGAGGAGTGTCACTTAGATTTCGACGAGATTAGCCGATATGAAGAGAAAGTACATGATTGTGCGGAGAGTTTTGTTATCGTCTTCGGGTCATACTTTGATAAGTACTGAATGCCAACAAGGTTCCAACAATGCAACGATCTAAGTTTTTCTGTGAATAGTACTCTCCAGAAATTATCACGATAATATATCAAAAGACAGGATTTTGGCTATAGAATTTTGTGACATTACAACTTCAACAAACACCGATGCAAAAATTGTAGGAAGTACATCACCAGCATTTACATTAGTGAAAAGCGAAATAACGAGGTTTGCCAAGCAGAAGATTTTCAAAGGATAGAGATAGAGGAATAGAAGAATAGAAATATTCCCTGTAAACAAAGAATTTATTCAAACTCAAGATTTGAATTACATTTGAGTCAACGACACTGCAAAGCTGGTGTAGTGATAGAAAAACTGTTTTTAAAGATTTGAAAACCTGTTATTTTACATCATCATTAAAACAGAGTTAATATTAGTCCAATGTCCAGTTACGTGAGTCATAATAAGTCCAGCTACATGAATAGCTGTTAGGCCGACATTTGATAGTCTATTTTTGTAAAATTTTTGAACGATTCATCCTAATTAGCGGAAATAGAGTATTTCTTACAGGCTACTGGATACAAGCAAGTTTGTTAAATGTACATATATCAATTACATTGAACAAATTAACATATTCACTACTCTGATACAATTAACGCCTAAAATTCAAGTGATTCAAAAATTTAACTGACCAAGGTGATATGGGCCGTGCGAACATTCTCAGCAGCTGGTTTTGAGAATCTTAAGACGTCTCCTAATATATTCATATTATACAAACAAAGATCACATTGGTTAGAATATCAGGATTATGTGATATTTCAACGCATGATATCATTTCAACTTTTCAAGCAATTGTTATCACCAGTCATACAACAGACAGGTCTACCTGAACAAGCAATATTAGAACCGAAATGAATCTGCCGATTGTCATACTTCAGGTGCAAGGTGGTCATACTAAAACATCATGCAAAATTGTTGAGAACGAATACCACAATGTCTTGCCGTCCGATCAGTGACACACACAGTTAGGCAGACAGTACTATCTTGATTAATGCTACCCTTATAAAATTATCAATATGTTTTAATGAATATGAACTCTTTTCTAAGTAATGATTTGATCAAAAGAAGAATGATTAGAATAGTGACAAACTATCGTACTTGACACCATCTTTTGATGTTTTGAAAAGTTACTGTTAAATAAAGTTGTAAATGCGGAAAATCATTTTGATTAATTCTGTAATGAGAGTTATTATTGAAACATTTTTACTACATTTTCGCGGACAAGAATAAGTTTTCTTTTAATTCATGGGAAAAGAAGTCATCAACATAGGATGATAGAAATTGAGAAGAGAAGAAAATTTGTATGTTTTCAGCTACATTAAAGTTGCATGATATGTAAAAAATCGCTCAGTGGTTTTAGTTAATGCGCCTTATTGCTTCGTAAGTCCCTTCTGTTAGCAATATCGAAGACAATTCCAAATCATTCTTTTCAGGCTTATAAGATAACTGATATCAAGCAGCCAAATCTAGGATTAGCTCAATGCAATATGCATCATCACTTTTGGTTTTAATTTTTTTTAGTTTGAAACCACCAAAATTCTTGCTCATTTCTAAATTTTGAGTAAATTTTTAACAAGCCTTAATTTTCGAGCTTTCTAACCTTGCATTCAAATTGATCTGGGGATAAATTCCCACTTTTTTATTGCTTTTGATCCATTATTGTTAAGGCTATAGGTGTTTCGTCTGGTTGAATCAAGTGTCTATACTCAATCGTTCTCATTGGTTCTGATAGCATTGTCACACATAAGTTATTATCATACCATATTCGCATTCTGCATGCTATGGAACAACATTATATCACTTACTATCATATCATGTGATTAATGCCTTGCACAAGACTTTTGAAGTCGGCACTAAGGTGGGGGTATTGGTAAGATTGTCATGTGTACAAAGAGCGCGAGGTTCGGTTGTTAAGCTACCTACTACTAAGAAACATATCATTTGCACCACTTGTGCATTATATCAACTATTTAAGCACTTTTATTACCATACTCAACCGCAAGTTTTGATGGCAATTTGGCTTCTTTTTTATCCAGCATGCCTGTCTGTTTACTTAACAGTATCAAACAATCTGACTTGCTACCCTGTGAATTCAACGTAGCCAATCAGACCGCTTAATACTTCACCAGTGAGCCCATTCAGTAGCAAAGGACCACCTCAAGAATAGATAAATGTTCCTAAACAAAACAGACTTATCTTAAAAAGGGTAGTAAACTTTTTTTAGAAGTTTAGGCCATCGGATAAGTTTTTGTTAAATACATTTAATCTTTTTGAACTTCTGTTATCTGTTGGAAGAAAACTTTTAAATTCTGAAAGAAAATTCGCCAATCTAATTCAGATCTAAAGCCAGAACTAGTTGTAAAGCCACGTAGATCATTGGTTTTCGATAACAAGACCTGAAGCGTGGTATGTTTGATTTGAAGAAAATTATTTATCTGTTTAGGAAGCATAAATGGCTACAATTGAGGAATTTCGTAACATTCGTGTCATTGTTAACCAGCCATTTATCAAATAGCTGTCATTATGTTTTGTATTTGCATTCAGTTTGGCAAAACGTTTTGCCTTAGCAACTATGTTCGAATATTTTTGATGATGTTCACATGACTCAGACTTCAGGGGCGTTCATAGAAAAGCAATACGGCTTCTTGTTCCAGAAATATTTGTTCTCGACTGATGAACGTAATTGCGCTATTCACAATTAACGATAATCAGAGATTACAAGTTTTGTTCAATGCATATGCCCGACATGCCGAGCAAAAATAATAGAAAAGGTGAAGATTTCAAAAAAGCAACGGATGGGGCATAACTGTTTTCTTCATGGTTGGCTATCAAATGATGTATTCAGGCTATTGATTAAAGTGCATTTCCAACCGACGTTAGCTTATTTCATTCAACTCAATAACTTCTTTAATAATTCATGTTATGATAATTTTTAGCCTGAAAAATACCATCAGTGAATCGTTAATTATTGATGAAGACATGAATTTAACCGACGATTCGCGGCCTTTTAAAATGCCCTAAAGGCTTGATCGAACTCATGATGACGCTTTGTCAGCTGATCTCATCACAAAATGGTTGCATTGCTATATGTATGTTCAAATAAACATATAATTCCATACAAAGCAAACTTGTGAACAAAGGAATAGGTACAACTTAGCCTTCTGCCTCAATAAATCTGCAAAGCATTGTGGTGATAGATGAATGGATAGTAAAGGGAGGGTACCTTTAGAAAAGTTTATCCTAACGCGAATTTATCTCATCATTTTGTTTTACGACAGGAAAATTCCATTGACGGTATTTCTATTATCTAGCACATGTAGATTGTTTTATGGGCCATATCTAACTAAATAAATTATCACAACTTCGCGTATCGAATCATATGTCCCCCAGTATATTTTTGCTGGAATAGATTCAAGTCATAAAAGTAGGTAGCATATGCAACTGAAAAAACCGGCTACGTATGTTTGATCTTGCCAAATTCTGATACTTCTGATAAAAAAGGGAAGCAAAGAGATCAGCATCTGTGTATACTTGCTGTAAGATTCTCCAAAGCATTTCTTACTTTAATAGCCCTAGGTAGGACAATTCATTACTGGCTTCGCTTGCTTCTCATTGCTGTTATTAACAAATAAATGCAAAAAAGCTTATAAATGGTATTTGTTTTGTTAACTTTCATGATTGTTACTAAAAGCATTTCGAAAAAGCCTATCGATGATCGTCAAAAGGATGTGAATACTCCTCACTTAAACAATCTTTCTATTGCTGATGGAAAGAAATAATTGAATTTTAAATAAGCAGCTTGAACTGCTGTTGTTTAATTGGAATTGGAAATTACTAAAAGAAACATAATTTCATGATGCTGAGATTAATGATGGAGAAATGATAGGCTGCAGATGCTCACGTGTAATTGCACAGAAGTTTGGCGAAAATTAATCTCGTGTCAGTTGTGTATAGCTCACAGAGACTTTATATCCAGTCTCTATGGTTAAGCTCTATGAGTCATGTTCTGCTGACGTATAAAAAACGACAAACACTTCTTTCAATAACTCACAGTTCATTATCTCCAGAACCTCAATACTGACATCAGCATCCTGCCTGTAATTATAAAGGGCAATCAACTTCTTAAAAAAGTCAATTATAATCAAGCCATTCAGCAACTTATGATAATGTTGGTACTAATTCAGTTTTGTAGAAAACGAATTAATCTTTTAAAAGAAACGGTAGAAATGATTCTTTGATACGTTTATTTATCCTTTTATTTTTTCTTTCCAATTAGACTTTCGTGGCTGTGAATAACAAGCTTGGAAAGCAAACTGTATACAGATTTTCCAAAGACAAGTCATTATTCTGCTTTGGAACTGAAAGCCCAGTGCGAAAGATTACTGTTTACATTGTAACTCATCAGTATCCTTTTTCAATAGAAAATGCTTCACCAGTTTGAGTCTTGATTACATTATGTATAAGATCTAATTTTATCTTGATGTAGTATAGAAAAATTGCCCTGGCAGAACTATCAAAAGTTATCAAGAATAAGCATTGGTAAATTTTAAGAGGCTACTTACATCGTTAACATTTAAAATCATTAAACTGTATGTTTTAAAATCTTTCAATCTTCAGACCTCTTTGCAAATGATAACATCTTTACAAATTGCTACCTCAATAATCATTCAGGCGGATTATAAAGAGGTTTTATGAAATATTTCATTACACTCATAATTGTCTTATTTAGAAAGAGACCATTGTAGAATTAAAGAAATCTTTGCTAATTTTCCTTAACTGACTTTCCAGACTTTTTGAAATATTTATTTTACTAACTATAATAACGAATTGTGTCTTCATGGCATTGTCAGACCCACCAAAGGAGGCTGAGTAAGTAGATCTTCATTTATGTTGGCACAATACCCTGTTGATGACGTCACTAAATGATATGCTTAAAAATAGAACAGATAGGATGCACTGATGATTGTTTTAGGTGAAATTGACTTTTTTATTTTGAGTGGGGGACAGTGCTACGGGTATTTAGGATCTGGGGTCCATCATCCATTTGTTCATATTTCCAAAATGTCAGAGACACCTCTTTTTCTCTCCTTACATGAAAACTGAATCTTTACTATGAGGATAGTTAGTTCCATGCTATTTCAAGAACACTTTCATTGATTAATGTTTCGCACTTCTTCAATTTTTTTTAAAATTGACAAATCACGACTAAAAGTAACTTCTGTGCAATATGACTTTGTTGTCATCGTGTAAACTCAAACTAAAGATTTTTTGTCTAGCAGTAAATGAGAGTCCTTGAAAAAGAAAATAAGAATCATCGCCAGCCCCTCCAACAAAGAAGTCTTTTTGGACAAGAAAAACAAACTCATTCAAAAACTGTGTTTGATAGACAAAAACCTTTTCTTTCTAGAATCAATGTAATGTGATTAAAAGTTGCAAAACAAATTAGACAGAACGACAGAACAACAAAAAGAAAAAACGACAAAAATTAGATAAAAGTTTTCTTTCAGTGTTACCGTCTTAGAAACCCTCTAATTTTCTTAGAAATCCGAGACAAAATACTTTTTTAAAGCTTAGGTATTAAACACATGGTTTTATGAATATCTGTCTGCTTGGTCTGTCTATTTTATTTGAAGAAAGAAGTGAAGTTCCTTAGAGACGTAGGTTCTAAAAGAATTAAGAAATGTCTTTCATCGACAGCAGCCAATGTTGTTCTTTTTCATTAGAGAAGACAGTTCTTAGTGCATTTTGTCAATACGTTCATTCATTGGAGCAAAGTTCATCCAGCAGAAAAACGGGTGATTTACACTATCTTTCAGTGAAAATGAAGCAAAAGCTTTAGCCTATTACTTCAAGTAAACCAAAACAGTTTGATTAAATTAGTTTAATTTGTGATAAGAAGTGTTTATTAGACAACCGCCAAAATCCGTAAAGAAAGACCAAGGCTAAGTTCACACTACTCCGTATTCGTTTCGCTCCGTTTTCGTTGATGAAAACGCTGTCCGCTCACACTTATCCGTTTTCAAATGAATACGATTTGAATACGGTAAATGCGCACACTACTCCAACAAAAACGCTGTTGGTGGCCTCATTTTTGGAAAGAGGCGTTCACGAATCCTCAATAAATTGGCGTCATTATGAATAAAATTGAATAAAAGCAAATCGTGAAAAACTTTGCTGTAACAGCTACCATTGTGAATTCTCAATTTCAAAATTTTTGAGATTCTGTATGCTAGAAAGCACGTATTTTGTTGCCGTTGTTAGCGTATTGAAATGTCTCCGTTTTTCGTGTTCACACTGGACACGGAGCGTATTCGATACGCACCGTACTCGAAAGTATCCGTTTTCATTAGCGTTTTCAAACGACTCCGTTTTCATAGCAGAGTAGTGTGAACGCAAGGCAAACACGGATTAGTTTGACTCCGTTTGAATACGCTAACAACATATCCCTGGGCCCGTTCACACTACCCCATTTTCAAATGAAAGAAAAAAAAAGAGTTGTAGGATTAAGGAAATCACAAGGTCCCGACTGAAAAGATAATTTAATTGAATTTAAGAGAAAGGAATGGAACAGGACAGGATAGAAGAAAGTAGAATATAATAGGACAGACTTGATTGAAATAGAATAAAATAGAAAAGATTAGAATATCAAAGAATATAATGAAAATAATAGAATAGAAGAGGATATTCATTGTCTTTGGTATATGTGTTAAGTAATTTTCAAGTTAAAGATGAAAAAATAAGAAAAAAAATATTTAAAGGAGGTCGATACAATTGTAAACGTAGCAATTATTTGAACATATTTAACTTATGTATCTGGTGATAATAACCCACAGTTATAAAGAAGACATATAAGCAATGATGTTGAGAATATTCTATAGAACTGAAGTAAATAAAGTGGCATGATTGTTATTATTTGGGAATATTATTGTTTGAAAGCAATAGGAACCGATGGGATTGGAAACAAAGGATTTTTATAATTTTTTGTGAGCTCAAGTCTCTTAAGAACAATATCAGTTATGGTCGTAATCGATGCATTATTTTCTCCATCATTCAGGTATGTGTTCGCTGTAATTTACACCTTCGAAGTGACAGTTAAAGTTTTGGCAAAAGGATTTATACTACATAAATATTCTTATTTACGGAATTCATGGAATTGGCTCGACTTCTTTGTCGTTATTGTAGGGTAGGTCAATATGTTTTTTTATGACATCGGTCAATTATAGCTGTAGTTATCGTTATAGTAGGAATTAAAGTTTAATAGACCTTTTCTGGTCCATTTAGGGACAGTTCTGGATAACAGTGACACAAACGAAATGAAATTGCTATTGATTTGTAATAATCAAATTTTTCTGATTGTGTATTTTGAATCTCTTTATCAAAATTCGTGTATTTTGAATCTCTTTACAATATGCAACAGTGTGCTTTTTTAACATACTAAGTAGGAGGCAATTGCTTCTCTAGTCCCTGTGATTTTCCGTTGTTTTAGGTTATTGTAGGCTATATATGAAGAGAAGGACAATAGGCTATTGTTTTTGTCTTTATGTAAACAAAGGCCTGTCCCTGAAGTTAGTTGCCATTCGAATAGGCTATGCTACAACACAATGACTAACGACAGATGTTGTCTGGCCAAGGTAGATAATTTCATTAAAAGATGGAAACTGAGAGATTAATTTGAATGTTTGCCTTTAATGTTTTTTTCATGACTGTTCCAATATGTGAAGTATATGTATTAGCGTTATAAACTACAAAGAGACAGACTGCTTTCATCGTGAAAATTTTCGAAAATAATTTTCACAAAATAACTCCTCTGTAAAATTTGCTGGATAAACTACTATTCTATTGTCTTATGTAATATCTAATGTCCACACTTTCAGATATGTAACAATGATACCCGAGATGGAAGATTACAGCGGTGTAAAAACGTTTCGAGTTCTGAGAGCGTTAAAGACTATATCAACAGTAAAGGGTACACACTACAGATTTTTTACTTTCAAAATTCAAAGAATTATCTCTGTTAGAAATATTTATCATGCATGTTGAACTGAAAAAGCGACAGAAAAGGATTGTTTCATATTGTTTCATTTATGCATTTGAGTTCTCTCTTCAGGTGTTGCACTGACGTTTTAAAAAGTTGCATAGCATTTTTCTGGGTTAAGAAATCTAGCTTTATAGCAATGAATTCGTGACATTGCTTGTTACCCAGCTGTTGTTAATTTAAATTATACTTTCACATAAATCAAAAATTCAATTTTGAGAATATTTAACTTACACTAAAAATTCCGATGGATTCGAGTTGGACTGAAAAGAAAGTCAAAATTACTTTATAGTGACAGACAAAGAGGCGTTGACATATTATACTAATTAGAAAGGAACTTTAAATCTTGTATTAATTTTTTTGTTGTAGAATAATTGATTTGAAAAAAGAACTGTCGATATTTGAAGGTTATTTATTCTATATTTGTAATTAACTTCGTCAAATATTTCTTTGCTCAGGATTAAAAGCAATGGTGAATACACTGTTAAAATCAATGCGGATGATGACAGACGTCCTAATACTGACGCTGTTTTTCATTGCAATTTTTGCCCTTATTGGGCTCCAGTTATTTACTGGCCGTTTGCAGTCAAGATGTGTGCGAACCGGGCCGGGTATACCAACATTTAACCAAGACTTCTATAAAAACAAAAGTGAGTTATTTAACGGTTTGGTAGTTTGTCACAGTTTTGACGAAATGCTCTCTAACAACATTAAGTATAATTTGGCCATAAATATTTGGCCAAACAGAAAGACTCATAAATGAATATCGGAAACTTCTTTATCTTGAATGCTTGAAACGCTTTCCACAAGAAATGGTATATTATTGTAAAAACTACATTATGAAAAGTACCGAACCGATATGCATTGTGAACAGAAAACAATTTGACAGAACGTTTTCAACTATGTGACAGGAAACAATGCGACAGAACGTTTTCAACTATGTGACAGGAAACAATGCGACAGAGCGTTTTCAATTAATAATTGTTTTTTTCTATCTCAAGGTAATTGGTATCAGCCTCAGATAGGAGGTGTTATTTGTGGAAATGCATCTACAGCTTGGTAAGATTAATCTTAAGTTCCCTTATTAAATTGACCACCTGATCATTTATTGGAAGAACAAACGTTTTGCAGTTTTATGCTACATTTCTTAGTATCGAAAAGATTACTTGTGTTTTAATATTTGAAATATTTGTCGAATAGCCATTAAAATAAGTTTAAATCATATGTTGAATAAAGCAAAACAAAATAGATAAAGATCTATCAAAAACTTCATTAGAGAATAAATGGATGTTGAAAGTCAGTTACTCAATCTTTTTGAAATGTTTTTTAGGATCTTTGAAAAGGGGAGCGTTGCTATTGCTAAAAAGATTGCTCGGAAATAATTGGTTATCCAACCGCTTCATTACGTTAAAACAGAAAAAAAAGATTCCAATGGATAAGAACAGCCAAAAATTGTTTTGATATATATGATAGAAAATTCAACTCTCTGAAAGATTGTTTATGCTTCTTTTAAAATATGTTTTAGTTAATGCTTAAAGTTTTCTTCTTAAAAAGATCGAATTCTTCTTTCCAGGAATTGCATACAAGGCTATGTTTGTGTTGCTGAAGCCGGGCCTAACCCAAAGTTTGGATATATAGGTTATGACAATTTCGTTCTTGCTATGCTGACATCCCTGCAAGTGTGTACACTAGATTACTGGGAAAGCGTTTATGATAGTGTAAGTACCGTATTGTTACGCTTGTATGAAATCTATGATCTCATAACTAAGTAAAGTCTGTTTCAAAAAAGTGAAAAAAAATCATCAGCAGTTTGCTTGTTCAAGAATTTTCAATAAAATGTCAAAATTGCAGGTTCCAAAACAAAATTTTATTTTGCAGAAAAAGCAGTTTCAGTATAAATCATAATCAAATGAAACCCCTGCGAAAATGAATAGTCAAATGTGAATATTACTACAGCTCTACAGCTAGGCTAAGACGTTCATTTCAACATCATAAAAATGCTTACCATTATGCTTACTTTTAATTGCTTACTTTAATTTCTAGGTGATAGCTGCCATGGGCGAGCCGTACATGATCTATTTCTTACTAGCTGTTTTCTTAGGCCCATTTTATCTGCTGAATTTAGTTCTTGCCGTGGTCAGTGCCTCCTACGAGCAAGAAGTCAATGGGGATCCTGATCTTGTAAGTATCTCGTAAATATCTTCAAATATGATCAGAAGAAAAAGAAGAATGATGAGGTCTTAACACTGACACTCAAGCTTTTAGGATGTACATGGTTGTCAGATATAAAGAACGTAGGTTTTAAAACTAAGCAATGAATGTCTTGAAGAAAGAAGGTCTCCGTGGATTTCTAAAAGCTTTGACTGTGCATCATATAAACACAATTTTCTGTCATCCCTTTCTCTTTTCTGTTATCACAGGCATTTTTATTCAGTTTGATGATACGGCGAGTAGTTCCTTTGAAATGACTTATCTTTTCATGATTTTCAGGAACGTGAGAACGAACGGCTGGAGGACATGCGTAGAAGCGCCTCGACGTATTCTTTTGATGGGAGGCACGTAGCAGAGTTACTCCATGGAACCTCCCCAGTTGTTGAAATTGACGGTGAAAAGCAGTACAATATTGACAACCTTCCAAAGAGTCTAAAGAAAAACCAAGAGGAGTTTATGCAGACTGAAATAGGTCCACCGGAACTTGGGGAAAACCCATCGTGCATACTTAAAATTCGTGTAAAGATGTACATCTTTGTTGGAAGTACAATATTTGAAGGATTTATTACTGCATGCATCATGCTGAATACTATAGCAATGGCGACCGAACATTATAAACAGCCAAAAATTATGGATATCATTTCAAACACATTAAACTATGTAAGTTGCAATAAAGTTTTTGCTTCATTAGAACATAAACAATTTTGAGTAAGTACAACTAGATTGAGAAAAATGTTTCATTAGTCTTGTAAATCTATGATTACCAATACATCAAAGTAATTGAATGCCATTTGTTTTATTTTAAAAACCAAGATAGAAGATTTTCGTAGAGGCACCAGATCACCCTTGTGTTCAATTTTAAAGCTCCAATCAAAACAACAACATTTAGATGTCACCTGGGGGACTTGGCCTTTCCAAAAAACATAAGTAGCATAAGTAAAACACTTTTATTTTGTAAAACATGGCTGTTTTATCACGGCTAACCCCTCCAAACAAAAAGTTATATGTCGGTCTTTGAAAAAAGGAACTGTCTCCTAGCAAAGTCAACTAGATTTGGAGCATTTTGCCAAGTCTACATTGATTTGCATGTTCTCTTATCCGTTACAGATTTTCACTGCCATTTTCGTACTTGAAATGATATTCAAACTGATTGCATTGACACCAAGAGGCTACGCAAGAAACAACTGGAATCTGTTCGATGGTTTCCTCGTTGTAGCAAGCTTACTTGACCTGGTTCTTTCTGAATCACAACTCGTTGCAGGCAGTGGACTCAGTGTTATGAGAGTGTTTCGATTGGTAAGTTGAGCATTTTTAAAGAAACTTTCGTTAGCCTATGTAAAATTTGGAGTTGAAAATTGAAAAAAACAAGTTCAGGAATATCTTAAGCAACACTTGATTTAAAAAATTAGATATGAAATTATTCATAATTTACTTTCTTTAGTTTTTACTTCATAATGACCTGCTAGCAAATCTTTTAACACATTTTACATAATTTTTTGATGTCCACGAAATGAAGATTTAGTTAATTCGTGAATGTTGGATAAAGTCCAAACGTTCTTTAAATTGAAGAAACCGGCTGTAACAGAGATAGTTCTCTGCAAAATAAGTGCGACAGCAGCTAAAATCTTATTTACCTTTTTGACAGCACTAATTCTGGCTGCAGAATAATGCAATTATTGAGGTTAGAATAGATAAAGGGTAACAGCATTGGTTTGCAAAATGTGCCAGTCTACGTGCGGATTCAGTTTAGCCTAAAGCCTTATCAATAGTCAACAGCTAGGTTTTATATATAGTGCTTGATTATAAAATATTCTCTTTTACAGTTGCGTGTATTGAAGCTGGCTCAGTCATGGAAGACAATGGGACAACTATTGAGCACAATAGGAAACAGCATAGGAGCACTTGGGAATATAACGGTCATCCTTTGTATCATAATTTATATATTTGCTGTCGTTGGTATGCAGCTTTTCGGAAGCAAGTACACAGAACAAGTCTTCGGTGGCAATATACCAAGATACAATTTCAAAAATTTTGGCAACTCTTTCATGATGATTTTCAGAATTCTCTGTGGCAAGTGGATTGAACCTCAATGGGATTTGCTCAGAGCAACTAGTCCCGCGTCCTTTATCTTCATCTTTATCGTCTTTGTCATCGGTCGCTGGGTGGTAAGTCTGCTGCTTGATATGTTGATAAGATGATGCTGTAAAATATCCAATTTTCATATCATGGTCATTTTCTTGGCTTTTATTTGCCATTCATTTATAGTATTCTGTATTAAACAGAGCTTCTTATACGTGACAAAAATTTGTAACCTACCAACAAATAAATTTATCAATAAAGATAATAGGTTCTAACTGATAAAGTTCGACAATTCAAATCAATGTACTTGGGTATGCATTGAAAAAAATGTATTGCTATAAAATTGGTTTACCAGTCTTGATTGCTAATTCTGCCTTAGGCAAATCAAGAATGTTCTGCTGGCTTTAAAATAAAATTATACTGCAAAGCAAGCGGAAAATGTCGTCATAGTTAACGACAAGAACAAATGCACTCCCAAGGATTACTTGATTCTGTAATGTTATAAAGAATGAGTTGCAAAGAAATTGAATTCATTTTACTGTTTAATGCAGGTACTGAATTTGTTCCTTGCCTTGCTGCTGAGCTCATTTGGTGGTGATGCATTAAAAGGAAATGAAGATGACGAAGAGGGCAAAGAAATGAAGAAGACAAGATTGCAGAGATTGATTGAATGGACCAAAAGTAAACGAAAAAGGAAATCAAAGGACGAAACACAGAATAAAGCTGATGCAAACATGGTTCGTAATACATTTCTGCTTTAATTATCATGTTGATAACTGCATAATACTACAGTGTACGGTAAAAAAGTTTCCTATTCCATACCTAAAGTGAAAAATGCATTAGATTATATTTATCATGCTAAAAAAATAATAAAGCATAAAAAGGATCATAGGAATGCAAATAGGTGATACAATAATCAGAATGCAAATTGAAAGAAAATTCCTACTATCTAGCAAAATATCTCAAAAGTAGCTAATGCTACAATTACTTTACGGAGGCCATTCAAACCATACTTAAGGAGTTTTACCTTTGATTTATACATATGTCCAGACATCAGAAGCTTTCTCGGCCAGCATATCTTCTCATACATAATTTTACACATATAAATTGAAGCAGCCAGACCTGCAAAAAAGTTTTTGTTATTTTGATTGGATATAAAATGCAAAGTAAGCTACGTCGTTTTGTAGAATGGAGAGCATCAAACTGCAGAGGTCCTAATGGCGAGTGACTTCAACGGGGTAAACGGAAAGGCAAATCCTAAGAATGGACTTTTCATAGAAATGAACCAAAGGAACCAAATAAATGGACACTCAAATGGAAATGTCATTCCAGGTAACTATTTCTCTAGACTGACAGTCACATAGACCGCTGCTGAAATAAAAGTACCGTAATTCAACATTAGTTTTATGATAGTGTTTAAAACACGAGGCATTTTCCATGAATCCACTAAACAGATTAGCTCGGCTAACAACATCTGAGGGGTTTGTAATTGTACCTTATAAAAGTTTTATCAAATGCTCAAATACTGTAAAAAACAAATGGGTATGGTAAAATTCCCAAAAAGAAAAGGAGTTCTGAGATATAGGCAACTTTTTAAGAATTACGTAAACGACTGATTGGAATTATTTTCACTTAACAAAATAAACTTTTAAGGACACTGACTTATTAACCTTTCAGGAACTTTGACATATTGACCTAGGTGTTGGGAACTTTGACACATTGAACTTTGAGTAACTTTGATATACATTAATGTGTATTTGACACTTCAATTATTTTATTGACCTTTGCAATTAGAGAAAAGAGCATAGCTGGAGCATTTTTAGATCTGAGAAGACAAATTTACTGTAAATTTGCTTCAATAATTTGTAATGTAATGTAATCATGTATTGTAAATAATTTGCAATTTTAGCAAATGGAAGGCTTGGGAATGGAAACGATCTAAAACCGCCTCCACTTATCAGTCATGACAGTGACAACTCATTGCTTCAAACTCGAAATGGAAATCTTCAAGGTATGGCAGATCGGAGATTTTCTGGATCTGGCGTGACCGAATTGGCGATTCAGGGCAAATTAGATGATAATGGGAGCGAGAAGGCGGGAAAAGAACAACCTAGAGGTCATTCCTCGTCGTCGGTGAAAATTGAAATTCACAGGGAAAGGACGTACATAGATGACTGTTTCTGCTTATGCTGCTATGCGTGCAACTGCTGCTATACAAGCTACCTTGACTCACCACCACGCCGCTTATGGCACAATATTCGATACTACTGCAAATTCATTGTTGAAAACAAGTACTTCGAGTTTCTCATCCTCTTTTTGATTGCCTTCAGCAGCCTCACTTTGGTGAGTAAGAAACTTACAATATTTGATCTGATGACAATTGCAGCTAGTGGTCTAACTACCTTTCTACGTACTCTCTTTTGCAAGTTAAAAATTTCCATGAGATGTTTTGATAAGCGCCTTGATAATGCAAATCGAATCTTCGACATCGAATATTTCGATTTTCGACCAATCTTTTAGTATAAAAGCCGAATCCCGTTAAATCAGATCTGCAAGGATGTTTAGGAAATGGTCCGAATTTTCGAATATCCGACTTATCCGAGATACGAATATCAACTTCAATAAGGTAGGAAAATGGGAATTGAACATCGGTTCGACTTAGTGCAAGTCCGAGTTATCCGAAGTAAGACTTGACGGGGTTAGCTATGTGTATATATATATTCTGTAATAATTTGATTTCATCTGTTTCCATTTTTTCTTTCACACGTTGAAGCACTTGGCTGACAAGGGTCTCTGCATAAGGAGTGTGGTAGCAATGACACTAATAAAAATCAACGTATTTTCTTTTCATTAAAGGTATTTGAAGATATCAACTTATCAAAAAGAAGAACATTGAGCGTATTTCTGGATTATTGCAACTTTTTCTTCGCCATCATCTTCACACTTGAGTTTCTCATCAAATTCATTGGCTTTGGGTGTATAAAATATTTTACAAACCTTTGGAATTTGTTGGACTTTTTCATTGTCGTGGTAAGATTTTGTCAATTTTTCTTATCGTAATTTATTCTAAAAATGAAAATACGAATAAAATTATGATGACAAAAAGTTACAACATTACAACAATCTCTTAACTTCATGCGACATAACTCCACTTGATGCCAAGTAACGTTTGAAATATACTTTTTTTATAAGAGATTTTGTGATTTAGCCTTTATTCACAATGTTTCAAAATTAATTTTTATTTCCAATTGCAGCACAGTGATATCTTGATAAATAATGATAAATATTCGGGAATTGTGTTATGCGTTTCCGAATCTGCAGTTGATGTTTATTTGACTTATTTTTAAACGTTACTCAATTTCTTTTTATAGATCTCACTGGCATCGCTATTTGGCAATCCTAATTTGAATGCATTGAGATCCCTTCGTGCTCTTAGACCATTGAGAGCTATTTCAAGATTCGAAGGAATGAAGGTATTGCACCATACTTCTGTTTTCATTGATTTGAATAGACCAATTCAACTTACGGTCTCGTTCTTCAAATTCTTTTGTACAAAAATTCTAACCTCAGATTCGGATTAAGAGCAATGATTTTAGTCTACTTGGAAATTTTCATTATTATTTTTATTATTATTCATTATTTATTATTTACATGGATATTGATTTTATGACGACATAAAGATGAAAATTTTATAAGAGATTTGACCGTAATAATTTTCTTACAATTTCCCCCGGAATGATTTTTGCGGTCAAATCCCTTTCAAGTTTTTAAAATTCATTTCTCCATAAAATCTAAATTACAAGCACAAACAAAATAAAAAATTGTATCCAGCCTAAATCTATTGTGATAAAACCAAATCTGAGCTTAAAAAAGTCGTATAATAAAATTTGGAGAAATTTCCAAAACGAGGCCGTAAGTCGAATTGGTCTATACTCAAAAGGAACTAATTCCAAACATTTGTTGTGTATCCTATTTCTTTAACACTTCTCGCGTTTCACAAGAAACTTTTCTTACATACACAATAACAAAATATTGAGTGAAATCTGGGAATTTCCTTATCCTTGAAGTTGCAAGAAAAACATAACTGTTTTTTTGTTCATCTAGATCGTGGTGAACTCGCTGGTCCATTCAATACCATCGATAGCTAATGTGTTGCTTGTCTGTGGAGTTTTTTGGCTTATATTCAGTGTCATGGGCTTTACGCTGTTTGGTGGAAAATTCTTTCGATGTGTGGATAAAGATGAAAACCAGCTAAGTTATGAGGTGATAGAAGACAAGGCATCGTGTTTAAACAATACAAACGTGACAGGGTACCGTTGGGTAAACAAGAATATCAACTTTGATAATGCTGCGATCGGGTTTCTGGCCCTTTTTCAAACGGTAAGTGCAACGGGATTACACTTTTTACAAACGGCGACAAAGATCATGATTTAAAAGTGTGAAGAAGCGACTTCAATGCATCAATATGAACGAAATAACATACCAAAAAATCAATATTTTTCTTTCTCACCCGACCCTTTTTACTGAACTTCAAATACATCTCTCCTTCAGATTTTTAGCCAACCACTACTTCAGATACTTTTGCTCTCTCCATCTTCTATCTCTGTTAACACGTGACTCAATAACAAGATTTGTGTTCTCTCAATTATCTCTTTCTACAAAAGGAAATTGTACATTTGTAGTCTTCCATTTATTTAACTATAATCAGCCAGAAACAAGGTTAAGAGAGCTGGAAAGGAAAATAAAAATACTGCTGAAAATTATTTTGATTTGCATTTCCATTGTTTTGCTTTCATTTGGAAAATTCATCGGTTAAAAATGTCTGATAATCATGGAATTTATTATAAAAGTTGAAAGAATAAAATATTTTGATACTACCTACATAAAATTGCTAAATATCTTTATTTGATTTTGTCATTCAGGCAACTTTGGAAGGATGGTTTGAAGTTATGCAGGACGCATATGACAGTAGAGAAGTAAGTTCAGACCGAGACACTTAAAAAGTATTTCTCAGGTCTCAAGGAAAATCATGTTCAGTTGCTATACGTTAATTAAAGATGAATGCGATGACGTCACAAAAAGTTCATTTGAAAATTTTCAAATTTGCACAAAAATATTCCCTCTTAATTTGCAAGATCAGCTATATCTGTGGTAAATTTGCAGGCGATATGATTACTTGAGCAAGAGCTCGTTCCCAATCAAATCACATTAATTTAGTCTCTTTGTTCTTAACCAGGCCAATAACAGTGATCCTTTAGAAAACTTTAAATCTTTCGTTGGCAATATCTCCCCTAATCTTTGACATATCTAATTGAATTTCATACAATCCCAGAAGTATTTTATGATGCTCTTTAAGGGTATCTTATGATATTACCACTTGGCAACTTTGTTACAGCGTAGATTGAAGTAATTTGTGACAAGGATATGTTTACTGTCTATTGCACAAATGAAGCAGTATTTCACTATTTCACTACATACACAAAATGAGTAAACAAGAATTAATGAATGAATTAGCGGGTAAATTTGTAGTAAAAAGAAGCAGTGAAGTGAGCTCAATATCTTAGTATGTAAGATATTTTTTATATAACATGTTCTTGCCTCTTGGACTTCTGGGGCAAGAACTATTGTCATGCAAAATTCACATGAGGAATCATCGTTAAAGAAAAGCTTCTGTCAAATCTTGATATTGAATTTGAAACAAATTACAAGTAATGAAAACTTGAGTAATCAAATATCATATACTGTCAGAAACCAGTATAATAGTATCATCGCTATTTGGTGTAAAGAACATGACGGTTCTAAGTTGCTATTCCAAGATTTACTCTTAATGCGATCATCAGGCGTGTACAGCTCTACCTATACAGAATCGAACACTTTTGACAGGCTGGCAAACAGTAATTTTAATTAATAATATCATCTATTCATTTCAGCAAAATTTGCAGCCGAAGCCAATGAATAACTTCTTTACACAACTTTACTTTGTCGTCTTCATAATTCTTGGCGCATTCTTCATTCTCAATTTGTTCATCGGAGTCATCATTGACAATTTCAATCGACTGAAGCAGCAATACGAGGATGGTATTGGGATATTGCTGACTGCCGGTCAGCGAAACTGGATTAATACTTTGAAATCAGCAGCCGATAAAAAACCGACCAGAAGATTGACAAGGCCAACGGTAATATTTTACACTTTGTTTGTCTTGTCATGCATATTGACAACTAATGTGGCATCAGTTAAAATAATTTTGATATCATTTATTTACATGTTACGAGAATCCTACGTTTTAAAGGTCTACAAGAAACAAAACTGTTAACCTTCCAGAAAATTTATCTAAATTAAACAACTTTTATGTTATAATATTAAGTGCACGCCTTGGGTACAATAGAAGACTACAATGCCCGCCAAATATCTTGGAAAAACAAGCCATTTATTTTGCATTGTGATCTATTTTTTTCGTTTCTGTTTCCCAAATATGACCATATTTGCCTACTCTATCAGAAAAACGTTGATAGTTAAGAAAATATCATACAGGTTTCACATAAATACCCGTCTTATAGTAAACGAAAATCTTTCTTAAGGATATAGAGAGATGACTTTTTTTGCCCTTGAAAATGGATGTCAGTGTTTGGGTAGGAACTAAACGTTTTCCCGAAAACAACTCTTTAGATTCCTGCAGATTTTCATGGAATAAGATTCTTCTGACACAAATTTATCTTCTTCATACATATCTTACATTTTCCCTATGGTTCAGGTGTTTTGTAACTTCCGGTGAAACAGTAGACTCTCCAAATAAAGAAGTTCTTGAGATTACTTCTTCTTTCTCACAGTCGAAATGGCGAGGAACCCTGTTCGATTTCACAACAACGAAACAATTTGAGCTGTTTATCATGTCTGTGATTATCGCAAACATGCTCACGATGATGATACAGCACCATGGCCAGTCAGATGAAGTTACAATCGCACTTGATTATCTCAACTACCTTTTCACTGGAATTTTCACGATTGAGGCAATCATTCGATTGGTCGCGATGAGATTAGAGTACTTCAAGTCTTTCATGAACGTTTTCGATTTTATTGTTGTTGTATTCTCAGTTGGAGGTAAGTCAAAATGGCTTTATGTCGTCCAGACTTTATGATGTTTATAAAAATAATTAGTAAGCAATAATGAATGAAGATAAAATAAAATTATTAAAATTTGACCATTATGACTTTAAGAATTGTGAAAATTATTATTGCGGTGGCAACATAGTTTAATAAATCCTTTCCTTTTTTAGTGATTTTATGGGAAAAATTAAAGTCAGGAAATGAAGAGCTTTACTTCTCGCCAGGGCTTCTTCGTGTTATTCGAGTGTTTCGCTTAGGCCGTCTGCTCCGATTTTTTGACAGCGCTAAAGGAATTCGCCAGCTTCTTTTCACAATCGTCAAATCCGCCCCTGCCTTGCTAAATATAGGAACGTTGTTGTTCCTTGTGATGTTTATTTACGCAATTATGGGAATGAATTTCTTCATGTACATCAAAGAAACGGGGTCGTTTAACCAAATCGTCAATTTCAAAACATTCGGAAGCAGTATGTGCTTACTATTCCGAATTGCAACAGCCGCCGGCTGGAATGGTGTATTGGAGGCAACTATGGTGAAACCGCCTTTATGTGATAAAACACCGAGACCGGAGTATAACAACAATCATAATTGTGGATCGCCAACACTTGCAATATTTTTCTTCGTATCTTATATAACAGCAATTGTGTTGATTATGATAAACATGTACATCGCGGTTATACTTGAGAATTTCAACCAAGCCCAGTCCCAAGACGAGGCTGGCATTACGGAAGACGACCTTGAGGCTTTCTACTCCGTTTGGGAACAATTCGACCCAAAAGCTACACAATTCATCAAATATTACCAGTTGCCTGACTTTCTGGATGCACTAGATGGCCCTTTGCGAGTACCAAAACCTAATTACTGGTTTCTTGAGGAGAATGAGATTCCAGTGAAAGACAGACATAAAGTCCATTGCTTGGACATTATGGCCAGCCTTATCAAAAGGGCCATTGGAGAAGTAGAAGGAGGGGAGTCTCAGGACTTTTTGTCCGTTATGACAAAAGTAGAGGAAAGATTCCGTGCCTCTTTCCCGACTCGAAGTAAAGAAACAACTAAAATAACAACAGCAGAAAGACTGAAAATCGAGAACGCTGCGGCTCGCAGAATACAGAAGGTGTTCCGGAGGCATCTTCTAATAACACAAATCAAGCAGATGAGTAGCAGTAAAAACATGACGTTGAGAGCGCGTGAACGAAATCAAGAACAAGTTGAGCATTTGATTACCATATTATGGAAAAACCAAGCTGGCAAAAATAGCACAGATGGTAATGACTCAGATGAGAGCGATGCAGATGAGTCACCACGGAAACAGTAAATTGTTACGTAAATATTGCTGTAAGCAAATGGCATACGATCGTCATGCTCAGCATTGTCGTGCTGCAATGTTTCAAAATATTGAGTTCGTTGTCGCTAGAACTCCGAGACCTGGCTCAACACGCAAACGTACCTAGTTGTTTTGTTCCTCAATTACAGACAATGAGCAACTGGTCCGAGTCAGTTACCATCTCAATTGTAAATTCAGTATTTATTGGCATAGCTTGGATTATTAGCAGCAATTCATCAATGAATATTGAGTAATGCACCCTTGAAATGGACTTTGGCTACCCACCGGAGCTTAATTTGTAAAATATTGAAAATTATGATTCACTGAGGATTACGTATTTCAAATTATGTCGTTATGATACAAAAGGAAACAGCAAAATTCCGTAATTTTTGAATATTGAAGGAATCAGGTACAAACAATTACATGGATTGAAGCAATAGTTATACTGAAGTAAAAACTACCTGAAAGAAGGTGAGAGGTGCTGCCGTGAAATGAATATTGAAGCAATTAAAGACCATTTGGAATGTTAAGTTTCATTTCAAATCAATAGAAATGCAAGTTGAGGTTTCAGAAATATATAAATGTATAACAAGGTATATTTTGTAGCAGTTAATTTTTTAATCTTCAATTTCGAAATTTTTTTAAAATCAATTCTATTTGAAAAAGTTTCTCTGAAAACACGAAATAGTTTAGTTATATTGGCATCGAGAGAGCAGTATCAGGGCCAAATGTCTGTGTAATAAAAATGATACAAACGTTTGTTTAATATGGCAAAGTGGTACTACAAAGAGCCAATTATGATGTTCGATTGCATTCCAGTTTAGCAGACAAACCAAACATAACCCATCTTGCTATTAATCAAAATTAGCTCTTCTCTTGCATTATAATATCACACATAACTGATAGATTATCGTCCAACACTGATAAAATATCGCCCTTAACTGACATAAATATCGCCCAACATTGATAGAATATCGCCCTTAACTGATACCAAAAATCGTCCGGCACTTGAAAAAATATTGCCCAACACTGATATAAATATCGACCTTAACTTATAAAAATATCGCCCAACGATGATAGATTATCGCCCTTCACTGATACAAAAAATCGTCCGGCACTGGAAAAAATATCACCCAGTACTGATATAAATATCACCCAACACTGATATAAATATCGACCTTAACTGAGATAAATATCGTTCAACACACATAGAAATATCGACCTTAACTGACATAAATATCGCCCAACACAGGTAGAATATTGCCCTTAACTAGGACCAAAATTTCCTACACTGGAATAAATATCGCCCAACACCGATAAAGAACGCCCAACATTGATACAAAATTTCCCTATACTGGTATAAAATCAACTAACACTGATGTAAATATCACCCTACATTGTCAAGAATATCGACCAACACAGATAAAACAATGCCCAACAATGATACAAAATCGCCCTACACTCGCATAATTACCACAGAACACTAATATAGATATCGCCCTACACTGGTATAAATATCACCCAACACTGATATAAGTATCACCACACATTGAAATAAATATCGCTTCAATGATAACTTGAAATAACGGCATTCCATAAAATAAGCTCGAATAGAAATTAAAATCTTCCCAAAGAGCTCTTGCCTCTTAGTTGCACGTGTAATTGATAACGGAGAAGAGCCTTGGAAGGTCGTTCATTAGCATGTTTAAAGTGTTGATCAAATTCGTAATCTATTTCGATAAAACATTTCTTTAGTATTGATTCGATTCATAGCTAGGGAGTTGGCAGAAATTTATTTAACAAACTTGATTACAAAATCGTTAATTAGATAAATGAATCGTTAAATTTTTAAGATACTCAATATTTCAGCATTTGTCCTGATGATTTCAAAATATTATGCGCAATTTTGGACCTAAAATGCTGGAAATTCTATAGGAATTTATTGATAAATAATAAAGTACTGTCGCTATACGTCGGTAAATACCATCAGCCTGCAGAATGGGTTATGCCCATTGCAATACACGTATTTTTTTAAGCTAATATTGCCAACATCTGAGATTGAACTTCTTTCTCTTTGACTGTAAGCAAACACGTTAGATTTATATTAAACGTAAAACTACCAGCTATCAAAATGTACTTTATATTATCTCAATGTATTCTTGCCTCACAATTCTACTGCCAGTTAATATTTTCTCTGTAACAATCAAATTAATAGTCGATTCTAGTGCGTTTTACTGTTTTGAGGGTTTTCTTTAAGGTTATTTGTGAATTTGTTGTGAAGTTCCTCATCTTAGAACTGAAAAAGCACGTGGAATAATGGACTTCTGTTTGGTTGAATAAACGTAAATGTTAAAAAAAAACAAATTTAAAGCTAAAGACGTAAATCACTTTGTTACCTGACCTGCTTGAGTGTTGCTCATAATTCCTAATGAATATAGCGTTTCCAATGAAATGAATCAAGCCAAGAAAGGTTTAAGATATTTTAAAGAAAGGGTTTTGAATTTTAAATAATTTAATGCTTTCGCTAAAACTAGTTAGTAGAGGAACTGGCCTCAGCAGGCACTTTAAAGTGTGAATTGATATATCGAGTAACAAGTGAATTAAAATTTCAATACCGTAAATCCTCGAATAAGCCCCCACTCGAATAAGCCCCCACTCTAGACCTAGTTACAAGTTGTCAATAAGCCCCCCTCGAATAAATCCCCACTGTTAACATCAATTCTCGAATTGGACCCTTCAATTGATGATTTTTGCCATCTGAGGTTGCCTATTGCGTTTTTCTAAATTACCACACCAAATTCATACTTTTGGTAATAATTAATGAAATGCTCATAAAGAAATTCCTACTGAAATAAATGAGGTCTTTTAATAATGTCTTCTTAATGTCTACAATAATTTTACAAGCCCCCCTCCCCTCGTATAAGCCCCCCTCTAATAAGCCCAAAAATATCAAACATAAATAAGCCCCCAAGGGGGTAATTCAAGGATTTAAGGTATTACAAGAAGATGGTTTATAAGATTTCAGAGGATAAAACTGCTAAAAATAAAAAATGAAATTAGAATGAAAGGAATAAAAATAAAAAATAAAACAACAGCAAAAAAATTGTATGTTGGTTCGGAGTTTCATGGTTTCTATGGTGTCTTTAGTTAGGGGCGGAGACCTGCGATGTAGAGAAATCCTTGAAAATTACCTTTTCTAGATTCGTGATCTATCTCTATCTAATACAAACTCATACTGCTATGAATATAATTTGAGCATGTGATCTAAATCTCAATCAAACAGTTCGATGTCGTGGCTCGGACATCATATTTTCTCTTTTATTCTCTACGAATAATTTACCAATGGTATCGTTTAAGAATAATTTAAGAGAATACTTAGTGTAAAAATTACTGAAAATCTTGGCTGTACTAAACAACTACTCTCTACGAATAATTTACCAATGGTATCGTTTAAGAATAATTTTAGAGAATACTTAGTGTAAAAATTACTGAAAATCTTGGCTGTACTAAACAACTACTCTCTACGAATAATTTACCAATGGTATCGTTTAAGAATAATTTAAGAGAATACTTAGTGTAAAAATTACTGAAAATCTTGGCTGTACTAAACAACTACTCTCTACGAATAATTTACCAATGGTATCGTTTAAGAATAATTTAGAGAATACTTAGTGTAAAAATTACTGAAAATCTTGGCTGTACTAAACAACTACTCTCTACGAATAATTTACCAATGGTATCGTTTAAGAATAATTTAAGAGAATACTTAGTGTAAAAATTACTGAAAATCTTGGCTGTACTAACAATCATAAATTGAATTTCCATTCGCCTTGAACATAACATTGTTACTTCAGAACTGAATCACACAAAACTAATTTAGGCTTAAGGCCTATCCTACACATCCTACAACTGGACTAAAGCCGTGCCAAGATTTTCCTTCATAATTGACAAATGAAGAAGAGTACCTTATGGAGAAGAGGTATCGTACAATGGCGACGTCATGGGGACTAGGGGCACGTCCCCCATTTCTCAGCAGGTTCGACTGTCTTTTGTCTGAACTGTATAAGAAAGATGAGTGGCGGTTATATTATATGGGCGTTCCCTATTAATTAATTTCCTTCCCTGTTTTTAAAAAGGTGTTCTCTCAGTAAAAAGGCCTGGCTTAAATCTTTTTATTCAAGGCTGGCGCTCCCTCTGGTATCGAAATATGCGTATGAATAGGAAGGAAGACGCAAGAATTTAAAACCTCCCTTTTCTAAATAAACTTCCACCTCTCATGAAAAATCTGGAAAATTATTAGTGAAACTGTTTCATTTATCTCGAGGGCTACAATTGAAGTCTTCTTGTTGGATATCTAATGGGACAATTTATCTTCTTTGTACTATTAATTGATTGGTTAGGCGTATTTTTCAGTAAATTCCATTACTACAAGAACTTTGCTTGATTGGGGACTTCAGATCAAAATTAGCAGCCAATTAGGCAAAAGGATTATTAAAACAAATCTTCTATAAACAACTGCAGACACAAAATAGAATATAACCCCTATTTTTGCCGTCTGTTTACCAATGCAATGAGCTCGCTCGCTGCCTCTTCTTTTTATTGTTCATGAAATTATTATCGGGCTTTTATGAGGGACGCAAAGTCAGCGGATTTCCTTCAAAGAAAACCATAATATTTTCTTATAACATCTTTAAATCAACTTCATATAGATCCCCTACATGATAAAAACATCCGACTGGCAATAGAGTCGCCTAATCCGAGGTTTGTTTTGTTCTGTTTTCACTGAGAATGCAAAAGTTGATCTATTACATAAATGTTCGAGATAAAATAATTATAAAACACATTAATTTTTTATCGATTGGAAGATCTCAGAGCAGGTGATCCTTTTCGTGATAAAATTTCGATTCAAAGTTATGATAAAAATAGAACTGGGTCTCATTCAATGGCCCTGTTTAATCTTGCTAAACTTGCTCTCTTCTTGCTCTGTTTTTAGTCTATTGTCTTCGGTTGTTTTGTTATCAAAAATATTACAATATCATGGTTGAATTCAGGTGAGAAACAGAATCATTCAGTATCACACGTTTATCCTCGTAAGTGCTGTACTTACAGGACATTTTATTATCTATCCCAAAGTACTTCTGAGGCATATGAAATTATCTCCTTTGCCACAATGTACTGCATCACCCGCAAGCATCCTTTAAATGACAAATCCAAAGCAACTGCAAGCTTCAAAGTATATCTAAATCTTTATTTTTACTAAAAAATGAACAAAAAGAGGATATTTTCGACAGGTTATTGAGAAAATAGGTACACACCTACACAGGATTTCTCAATCTGTTTTAGTAAAGGCGCAAAAGTAGTCGTTTTTTGCTCAGAAAAATTTTTCTCACTATTTCTGACAAGCAGCAAAGTTTCCAAAATATTCTTACGAATTTCATACTTTAGGGGACTATTGATTTCTAAATTAATATTCATATTGCGACCTGACACTTCCAATCTTACAGGTTAATTCAAAGGGTAGTAAGAGGGGGTAGGGGGCCTGGCCCCCAATATCCTAGAGGGTCCCCAAATTAAATGTATGCAGATCGAGGAACAAATACTTGCAGTGTTTTAACTGCAATTTGTAGATATATTGAATTAAAAATGAGCACATGCTGTCTCTTAACTCTCTTTCCCACGACTGTGTTGGTTTTTAGATGTTTGCGCATTAACTCTGTATGTTATTTTGATATAGTCATTCATATATGTTTATAAAAGAATTTTGCCCCTCCCCCCTAATGACAAAATCATAGCTACCCCCATAGGTTAATTTAAAAAAGCTTCAATAAATCTGTAAAAACTGTTCAGTTATGAGATGCGAGAAAGGAAATATTGTATCCTTTCAATAACATAAATTTAATTTACTACATTGCCGCGAGTAGTAGAATCATACAGTTGAAAAAAGACAATTTTTGAAAACAATCTAGATTTCAATAAGAATATATTTGATTCATTTAATGTAATGAATATACTGCACAATGATATACAAAAGATATGTTTAGACACAATCGAAAGATCGTGATATGCTACAGGAAATCTAGTGCTATCATTGAGAAGGGATCTGGCCAGTTTAACCCTGGGTACCAGCCTCACTATATAAAATAATAGAGTCACATAATAATAAAATAATTCACAAATAATTTTATTTTATATATAGTGAGTCTGGTACCAAGGGTAGGCCAAAGTTTACTGCCAGCAGTGAAGAAAATTTAGTGTTTCTCTTTGTGTCCCTATGGCTAAGGAAAAATCAAGATTTTGAAAAGGAAATTTTCCAAGATGGGAAAAAATCAAATCTGCAATAAAGATTCACAAATTAGAGTTAAAAATAGAATTCTCAAGACCATGCCATGTTAACTGAAGTCAGCATTTTCAAGGAATAAGCAGTTTTTGCGCCAAAGGAGAGGAGAGGGAGGGGGACTATTTTTTCGCTCTTGTAAAAATATTGTTTACTTTGTTCCTCTAAAAGTGGATACAAATAAGGAAAGTCTCAATTCTATATTATGGAAATATTTAGAGACTCTAAAATGTAGAGCAGATAGGCGCTTCAGGAAAATAAAATAAAATGGTTTTAAATCGTTCGCGGTCCATACGCCACAGACGCCCTGTTACCTTCTACTTCGTTAGACCTGGCAGTGAAACTAGGAGTATTTCAGATATAATATCCCAAGAATATAAGGCTGGAATATTTAGCTGGAATCTCCTGTACCAGATACCCTTTCCAAAGTTTCTAGTTTTAGCATAAGGCTAAATATGATAATAGTCATGAAAGTTTTTCTGTGCTTTCATTCTTTCGAAGACTTCACTTTTTCTACGAACTCGTTACATTTGTGATCCAGTCGCCATGCCAAGAAAAAGCAAAAGGGGAAAACGCTTTCAATCGTGACATAGTGGGACCTTTACATTCATTTCAATCAGCACTTCTTTTATGCACTTCAGCAAGCACTCCATATCATGCGGATACAACTGGCCAATGTTACCGAGCCTGAAGCAACGAGCTTCTGTTAGCTGACCGGGATATATCCCTTGGCCTTTGCTTCCCAATCTGACATCGAATTCCTCAAAAGAAAAGTTCGGGTCTTCTGGGTAGAAGTATGATGTAATTATGTATCCATCGTGTGTGTCATCTAGGAATTCTTTGAATCCCATTTCCTTCATGCCTCTGCGCAGGATATTCCTGTTCTTTTTGTACCTGTAGCATGCAATACATCAAATCAATTTTCATTTAAAACACCGAGCTGAATTCGCATCGAATAGAGTTCGCCTAAAATTTAATGAAACCTAAGATAAATTCGATTTTGTAATTAAACCGCCCGTGCTTAAACTAGGCCTTATAATCTTAACTGATATGTGAGTACTTATAATGGACCACAAACAATGCTAACTTCAGGCAGCGGTAGGAAAATCGTCGTCGTCACTATTAGGCAGAACTAAAGGAGGCTCGTTGCTTTTGATAAAATGTATTACAAAATAAATGCAAAATTTATTTGAATAGTCGTATGTCAATGCATCAATTAAATAATAAAATGCTCATCACGTCTTCAAAAAATGTGCACAAAATAAAAATTAAAAACAATAGACTTGGATATGTATTATAAAATTTGTAATTCACAAAGTAAATTTATCTTTTCTTTTCACCTTTAGAGGGAAGAATCTGTAATTTAAGTCTTATAAGTTAATAATTAATAAATGAAAGAGTAAACTATTGGTACTGAATATGTCTCCAGGCTTTAAATACCATCCTTCAGAGTGGTGTTTTAAGCGGGTATCTCTTCCCAATTGGCGCTCCTGTCCAGGTAACACCGCTCTGCAAGATATTTCCACGATTTGCTGACGTAAACATCCACTAGATATGTCATATTCTCCCTGTTGCATCATTGGCATTATGCAATCTTTCATTACAAGCCAAACTTCATTTGATTATGACTAAACCCTGGCAACGTCATTTGAAAAGTTTTCATCGTACGCTGCCCAGTTCCTCGAACACTTCGACCCTTGATAGTAAGTTGGAAAGCTTGTCTGCTAGCTAGCTGCCAGTTTAAATGTTCGTGAAAATTCTCGTACGCTATGCGCTTGTTTTCCAGTGTAAGAGGATGGTCGAAAACTACATCGATATTTGAACCAGGCTGCCATTCCCCTCTGTGGAATGCTGGCTTGCACAGCACCGGACACTGGGGGTTGTATGCTATACAATTGTGGATTTCAATGGTCGCCTTATCCACAAATAAAAAATTCTCATAAAGAACCATTCATATGAACTTTGAGAAGTGTCGATCGCCGCTTTTACCAAGACATGGCCTTAGGTTGGCAGCATTCTGGAGTGTATGAACAGTTGAATACAAATAAAAGAGCTTGGCAAAAACACTTTGATCGAAAGTACAAAAATGATCGAGAGATTCCAGGGGAAAATTGTTTCTGCCAAATACTATTTTTAGCAGCTTGGTAAACTGTATTGTTTTTTTTCTAAATTAACGTAGCACTTTGCTAAAATAATCAAGCGCGGTGGAATGTATGTTCTAGTCACGATAGGAAACATGTGCTAGGGTTTTTAATTTTTTGACCAATTATAATTTCGTGAAAAGGAGAAAGCTATCCGCCCTTAAAATTGCTGAAAATTCTTTAGCAAAAGAACCCAGGCTTCTTGGCCTCGGTTTGGGAAGAAAGTGTTGTTTTTGCTTTCTCACAGCATACGGGAACTTCAAAGCTTAAAAAAAGATTCGAAAACAGGATTTTGCTAACACCATGTGGGAAAACTCAATATTGAGTTGATAATATTAGAAAGAAGGAAAAGAATGATTGAAAAATTTGCAGCTTGCTTTTTTATTTTTGGGAATATAGCTTTAATAAAATGTCGTTCCCAGCTTCAAGCCAAAGTGTTAATTCCTTTTTTCGTTGATCATTTCAATAAAGATCAAATCGCAAACCAACTTCACCTGTACTTTAGAATGCAGATCCTTGGAAGAGCAGTTGTTACACTCTACAAGTATAAAATCTGAAAATCGGGACTTTTTAATGCACTTTTAAACAACATTGCTGGTTTTGCTAAACTGGGTACTGATCCAAAGCTCACAAAGAAAGGGTAATTCAACATTAACTTGGCCTTCAAACCCAGAATAAAAAATTTGCAATCCTCAAGAAATAGAATTAACAAATTATTACCTTGCAGCGCGACCTAGAATGCCTCCTTCTTCTTCGAATTCTTCCAAAGCCTTTTTAAAAGCAAGCATTGTGTGAGTTGGTGCTGTGAATCTAAACAAGCCTGTTTTCTCAAGCGTCAAGTACTGGTCAACCAGATCCAAACTTAGACTTTGCGAGCATCCTTTGTACTGTAACAGCTTGTCCTTGTTTGCGATGACGTAAGCAAAGCCTGGTACACCTTCAATGCATTTATTTGCTGAGCTAATCATGAAGTCTATGTTTGCATCTATGAGGTTCAAAGGAATTCCACCAAAGCTGCTCATAGCATCTACGATGAAGTTGGCGCTTGGTTGCAGTTCTTTGATCGCTTTCCCTACAGCTTCGACTGGGTGAACAACTCCAGTGCTTGTTTCACAATGCACCATACACACAGCCGTAATATCCTTGACTTCTGAGAGCACATTTCGCACAGCCTGTACCTCTGCTACTGCATCCTCCGATCCTTCTAGGACAATCTAGAAAAACATCAATATATAAAAGCACTTATGAGCTTATAGTGTTGCAACACGCATTTACATAAAAGGCATTCACACTCAATAAATTTTATCCATTTTTTTCGTGGTTAGAAGAATTTCTACTGTCTGAGAGTCTTATCTTGGCAGTTATGAAACACTCTTTATTAGACCATCAAACGATTCATACCCACAATCACTGCGAGACGCAGGCATCTAAAGTTCTTGGGCATCAATACATTGGCAAGCGTGAAAACTGTTGCCAGAAATCTGCTTGAACACTTATTCTATCTTCAACCGTACCCAGGTAATAATAAGAAGTTATTGTTTTTGAAATAATGTACAAAATTATCTTATGCATCTGTGCTTAAAGTGCGGGTTTTGCATGATCATTGATATGAAGCAGAAAGAAGATTCATTTACGTGTTTAAGGTATTCGGCGATCTATAAAAAAGTTGAGAGTATTTTATTGCCAAAAAATCATGTACCAGACTTCGCATGTCGCTGATGAAAAATCCATTTAAATGTCTTGATTCGAGATATCACTTTGTTTTCGAAATGAATGGATTTCAGTCTCTCCAGCCACCAGAATCCACAAAAATGGCGGTTATCATTGGTTTTTGCTGTTATTGTGAAGAAGCTTTTCGGAAATTTTCTCATTTGTTGCTTATAATATTATGAATACTTTGCGGGTTAACCAGATAGTACTTCTTTATCATGGTGAACAGATAATGATTCTACAAATACAATGACTCATTTCTTTTATAAGAAACTAACTATCAGAAAAAGGTACTGGGCAGGACAGCCCATGGACTTCGGAAAGGTTGGCAGGCGATTCCCTCTATAACGCGCAGATCAGCTGCGCAGCCAGGATGCTTATAGTCATTACATGACCGTCTCTCCCTTCCGCACTGAAGAAGAACATTCTTTTGTCGTAGCTTCACCAGCAATAGGAGGCAGCTGGAAACTCGCTCATGTTTACTACCGTAAACGAAACCTGATGTTGCCTTATCGGTCCTAAATACAATGGATGCAGACAACTTAGCTTTTAAAAGCGTTGTGGATTGGTTAACGAGAACAATAGCTGGAAAAATAGCCTAAACACGATTCCAGCACTCCGCCATATTTTTTACAATGCGATAAATTAAAGGGGGACTGGAAACAATAAAAATCCCTTTGTTCTTATAATCAATCAACGTCGTGACAGATTGCTTTTAAGACGCTATCTTTGCCGAGGTGTCACATTTAACCTTCTCAGTGCCCTGTGTCTTGCTGTTTTGAACAAATATTATCGTGATAAAGAAGTGGTCCTAAGGCCAAAAAAGAAACTGTCGAGGCACGACTGGGTGATGACTAGGTATAGACTGAGACCGATTTTATAACAGAATTGGAATACTTATGCAATACCTCGCAATAACAAGGAAACAGAAAACTGAAATCAGGAGTTTGGGCATCAGAGGGTTATTGCGTTCAAAATTTAATACTTGTCTAGAAAATAGGTCTTAGAGATAATAACCTTGGAAGACCAGGTCAAACAAATAACAAACCGTGGAGACAATGTATTTTCACGTGCTGCTTGTGCTTGTTTGAATGTTGAATACAAAACCATAAAATCTTCTGAATAATTGATAGTTTGTAAGTCACAAGTTGTTTTCAGATATAAAGCTTAAATTAATTCAATTGTGCACGATATAAGCTAAATCTAAGGCTACATCATTGCAAAAACCGAACCTCAACAACTTAAAAACTGTCTTCCCAATCAAAAGATAAATGAAAATCAGCGACACAGCCTAAGAGCTTGGAACAAAGTGATCTTGACAAAATCCCTGAATTGGGCATCGACCAAGCCAAGCCTGATTACCAATACTCGAAACAGCTTTTTGTAATCTTTTAAGAAAAGATACTAAAAAATTATTTCCAACAATTTGTTCTATGTATGTGTGCCTGCATTTGTGACAACTACATATCAAACATTGCCACAAGTATCCAGGAAGTTAAACCGAATATTGATATTTGAAGAAAATACATTGGGCAATTGGAAGCCCTTTGCAAGCCGTCAAAAAATAGGTTGTAGCATAATGTACAGACTTGGTTAAACTAATGTTGGTTAAAAGACGGTGCTGGTGACTTGAATATTTAATTTCCATTACGTAGTATTAAATACGAGTAATTTGTTTTGAAACATTTGATAATGGGAACAAAAATTTAAAGAATATATTAATAAGGAGCAAAAACTGGCTTCACTTTGAAGTGATTGGTATCAGAAAACGTTTTGATCGCCTCAATGATAAGACTGAATCAAAGTCTCTCTTAGCAACCCACTAATTCGGTATAAAGCAAGGTTGATCAATAAGTAACAGATTCAGTTTTAAGCTGATATAATCACGCAGTGTTAGCAATTAAAGTTTTGTTCAGCAGGAGGGGGGGGGGCGGGGGAAGAAAAATGATTCCTTGTCAAATTACAGAGGCATCTGGATATCAAAGGGAGGGTTAAGACTAAAAAATGGAAAATAGAGGCTTTATAGACCCCCAACCCTCTTATGGTGCAAACAGGTATTATGAGCTGCTTATTATTACCTTGTCGATTCCCATCATGTCCAGCATTCGCACTATTCTTTTACCATAGGCCCCATTTGTAATAATGAGGACTTTACCATCCTTTCTTGGAACTGTTGTTCCAAACACAGCTTCTACTGCGAACGTACCGCTGCCTTGTATTGGTACTGTCGTATAATTTTCTCCCGAAACGTATGCAATATCAAGCAGCTTCTGCCTGATGAACTTTACCGCATTGCCAAACTCAGGGTCCCGATGACCGAGGTCTTTAAGCATTGCATATTTAGTCTCGTAGCTGACTTCCAAGGGCCCAGGTGTAAAAAGTTTCTTCGTAATACCTGCAACAAAGACATGAGTATACTGTTAGGAGAAGCTACTAAATCAACATATTGTTTTCTTACTAGCCTCTGTAAATAAAGAAACCATTCCAAAACATGTACTATAGACATCCAATAACACGAAATTATGAGGAAATGAACTTCTTTTTCGAACTATTTAAAAAATGTCCGTCGAATCTTCTATCTTCAGGATTTTTTTTAATTTGGACTGCATGACCAGAAAGAGTGTACCTTTAAATGTACAAAATCAGTTAAATATATAACGTTGTTGTCACATGACCAAATGAGCACAGACGTTTTCTCAATCAAATCGAGGGGCAGTTCTCTTCTGTCATAACTTGCAAGGTCTCTAAAAAATTTATCATTTGTTGTCACGAATGAGTAACTTTTGGGGATTACAATTTCAAAACGTTTGGATGAAAAATGACTCTATTAGAAGCTTTTAAGCGGTTAGTAAAGTTACGAAAAATCACTTTTTCCTCTCGTAAAACTAATAACATGCACGGAAAATATTATCTTCATGATACAGAGGAAGTGAATCTGAGTAAACACCTTAAAAATTGATACAAACATCTCTGAGATATTTTCAAGATGCAACCGTCAGTTGAATCTCTTTAAGTTCGTCAAATCTCTATTGTCCTTTTGAATATTAATAAAAATTTCGAATAAGGTGGGGATTTTCTTGTGGGCGATTGTCTTTTGTTATCAATTCAAGAAGTGAGACATGCAAAATAGGCTTTATAGAAGCCCGCTGTTACAGTAGCCAGTGAAAACAATAAGCACGACAAAGACCTTTTATAATCCCAGGCAAATGTTCTTTGTATGCGTAATTTGCTTATGAAACTTCTTCAAATAACTTTTGCGCAATTATTACGGAATACAATTCTGTGGATAATTTTGAACAAATCAATCTTTTGTTTTGACGGAATCCTACTTTTTGAATCGGATATGGGTGTAGCTAGCCTGCGCGCAGTCTTTTTGGTGTTGCTGTTCCTCAACGGGAAATACATTTGCTCATTTCACCAAAAAGACTGTGCGTAGGCTAAGGTTTAGCTGATTTTAAACAGTGCATGTTCGACGATTCCTCAAGGATGGAATTCATGGGGGAAAGCAAGGCATCCAGGGTCTGCAAGGAGAGGCACTCGAGCTCGATCAAGTGCCTTCACACGCGCCTAGAAAGTGTAAGAAGCTTGATTGATTGAGCACCAAGTTTTCTAAAAATTGAATGCTGCCGAAAAACAAAATTTTGTTATTGATGATATTCGATGATACTAAATCGAGCACCTAGAAAGTTGAAGATGCTCAGTTTGTCAAGGGCCTGCTTGTTGTAGCCTGCGCGGGGTCTGCGCGGGGTCTGCGCGGGGTCTGCGCACAGGCTAGCTTTTTGCTCCTCACAAGGCCTAAATGCATCGGCGTCAAGAAAAGGGCCCGGGAACCAAATGCAGCAAAGTTAAAAATATGAATTATTATGCCATACGTTGTAAACATTGTGAAAGTAATGACTTGCCCTCACAGTGAAGGAAGTCGTGACTTACGTAAAATACACCATAAAGAGACCTTTTCTTAATTTGTTTAAACTGGAGCAAAACCTAAATTGCTTAATAGACAATTTGAAGATACCCTTTAAAGATAAGGGATCAGACTTTTAATTCGTTTCATCTTCCACGGGCTAGCTATGCATTTTAATATGCAATCAAACCAGGTCCGGCCACTTCTGACTTGACATCATTTATATATAAAGCTATGATCCCTTTCAAAACTTTCCGAGGACAAAAGGGGATTTGGCTTGCTTTACTCTAATTTTTGCTCTACCTAGTAACTAGATATCTTTGAGCCTCTCATGCCGAACACAGGAAAAATAGGGTAATTATAGGTGACGTTTACACGAACAAAAGAGGCTACCTGTTTACACAGGAAAAAAGTGGATCGGATCTAAACTGGAACCATAACCATAAGCGGATCGGACCCACGAGATCGCGTGTAAACGGAATTCCCATTCGCACCAAAAGTAGATCGGACCAACTTTCGTTCTTGTAAACAGGAGCCTTTAAAAAACAATAGAAAAACAAGTTTAAAAAAACAACAGAAACAATGTATTTCGAGGCCACCGACAAAGGGGGGGGGGCATGGCCACCGCTAAATTTTTGCAAAACAATAGAGCTTTTTTCAAAATCTTTTGTTCTAGCCCACCCACTTTCCAACCTGCGTCGGAGCGTGTGTACTGTACATTTCTTTCATACACAGAGAAGTTAGATGCAATTCAAAGTTGGAGGAACACAGGGTGGTAGGGGCAGTGTATCACAAAAATGAAGTACTGTTTCAATAAGTTGATCTCTTAGAAAAGGGCATACTGTCAAAAAGATTTGGACCCGCATCCATGGTGCACTCCCGACTTCTATGTCCCTGTATCTATTACAAGAAACTTCCGGATACGGGACACCTCCCTTTAACGGCCGCCTCCCTTAAATGGACACTGCTCTTCAACGGACACCTCCCTCAATGAACGGTAACTCTGATCCACTTTCAAGTAAATAGAATAAAATAAAGTAAAAGAAAGAGTAAAACAAAAAACATACTACATGAAAATGTGTTCACAATTCTCGATTTGTTTTAGACCAGGATTGGATTCAGTGTAATGTCTCATTTCTATTTTCGTACTTCCAATTAAAGATAGCATTAAAAAACTGTGTTGATTGTTAGTTTGAACCATAGCTGCAAATATTAAGCTTGGGTTGCAGGCTTTCAAATATAGATAATCGGTTTGGTCTGTAACCCATTTGGCGGCATGCACTAATCTAAACACGCAACGGAAATGGACTGGGGGCTATGTGGCAACCTGCAGTAGTATTTGCATGAAATGCCTACATTCCTTAATCCTTATCAGATCAAGAATCTCCTTTACAGTTTCCTGTATAATAGATTGTGGTTTCAGCCCAAAGTATGCTCATACTTTTCATTTTTGGTGTTAATCATAATAAGGCTGCGCCTCATAATAATTGTATGCAGCCAGGGCCGTCGCGAGGCAAGCCTTGTTGTAACAGGATATTTCTTATATTGCATAACCTCGTTTTCATTTGTACCTCGTTTAGTTTTGTGTCAATCATGTAATTAATCTATTGTATGCCGTTGGTATAAATATCATGAGATTTTGTAAATAAGGACTTTTGATATGCACGATAACAAGAATGTAAGCAAAGAACAAGATCTCATTTCTTCGTTTCTCACATGAAATCCTCTCGCATAAGTCTGCGCAATACAGCGTAAGACCTTTACATTGTTGGGGGGGGGGGGTGGACTACAAATTTACCTAATTGAAATATAATTGCCTTAAATTCTTTAGTTGCTGTCACAAACCTAATAGTTTTGTCAAATCTTTATATTGGGACGGGCAAAGGATATAGTTACTACCCGAGGCGGCACTATGGTTGCGGCTGAAAAAGGAGGAAATTTTCGAATTTTGATGCTTCTAGTCCCCTGGAAAATGCACTTTTTTAAGCAAATTTAACTAAAGCAATCCTCCTAATTCTATTGAAAATTATTTTTTTGCAAACAAATTGAACAGCAGATAAGAACAACTGGTACAATTTCGCCGTGATCTTGAAAAATACCATGTTGTCAGTTACTTCTCAAGCTTTGTAACAAGCAGCACTGATTGTCAATTTAGATCCCTCTTTCCATCTTATCATGCCTTTTGAATGTTAAAAAAAATCTGGAGCTCAAAGTGGATTGCAGTTGATGTTATTACCGTGAAACTTTAGGGGAAATGGATACAAAACACAGTTTTACCTAAATAGGGCCTAGATTTTTAGATTTAGTGCCAACAAGAAATCTTCAAATCATTAAAGCTTTGTTTGTTTACCTTTATTCATATCAAGGAATATCATATACAACCAACGGAGCAACTACCTTTGCTTGATCCTTCATTGGTTTTAGGTCAGGAAGGTCTCTGAAATACCTAAAGCAGTTCTTACACTGAGCGGATTTTAGCTGCTAACGGAGCTGAAATTTCCTATTGGGGTACTTTTGGGGGGTGACACCCCACACCCCCCAGTCGCGACGCCCCTGTGTGCAGCATTGTGTCACTGAATAGAAAATGAATGTTTACCAATGACAGGATATGGTTAAATTCTCGCTGCGCACCATTTTTCCAGAGGTCAGAAAATGCCTCAGCCTTCCTCCGGATGAAATTTCGTCCAATTAGCCTTCCCCGGAAATTCCCTCATTCCTTTTCAATAAAAGTTTCATAAAAATGCAATTTAAGTAAATTCATCTTTAGTCTGGTCTTTAACTTTGTCAAGAAAAAAGAAAAGTTCAAGCACAATAGGCGTTCCTCAAAGCTTCTACATTGTATCATAACCTTCCTCCGGCTAACAGCCGTGAAGCCGTAGTGTTTTCTGGATTCTGATTTTTTGCTGTAATAAATGTTTTCATTGGGTTTAGCGAGTCTTTCCATACATGTCATTCTTAAAATCTGACTGATTAAAGTCGGAACACCCTTACAAAAAGGTTCTTTCAGAGAAAAGGGGAGTAGAAAGGTTTGCGTGTTGCACGCATCAGGTAGATCAAAGATAAAGAGAGACACCCGTATTCAAGGGCGAATAGCGTGAGGTTGAATTTCTCTGATAGATTCAAAATATTGTTTTTGGAAGGCAAGAGAGCATTAAAGGCCACACGAATCATTTTTTGTGATTCTATGACAAAAATTTGGAAAAATGTACGCACAACAATTGGAAAACGTAGACACGAACGTGGACATATGAAAAATAAGCCCTAGATGAACCCAAATTACTCATGTCTCATAGTAGTCGAGAACAGGATTCCAAATTTCCAAATTTATTAATAGCTTCTATTAAAATAATGTTCAAGGATCTATTCCAGGAGAAAAACCTTATTTGCCGTATACGCAAATGGGGCGAAGGTGAAGAATCCGGTTCGGATTATCCGCTGAACCTCGTGTCATACACGTGGAGGAGTTTTTTGACTGCATCAACGAATCACAGGTCGCCTAGGGTCAGGAACGCTCTCCTAGAAATATGACATCAAGCAAAACATGGTACCTCTCCATTCATGTCCGCCCGCAAATGGTTATTTGGGATACTAACGCCATGGAACTTCTCAAATTTGCACTTAGAACCATTACCCTTGTGCCTATGAACTACTAGACTTTTGAGTACTCTTTGAAAAACACTTTCTCTTTGACGTTTAAGCTGAGAAATAGCCAAAACCTTACCACGCCCTATATCTTTTGAAAAAATTAAGAACCACAATTACAGGCAGTGGCGGACACTTGGAGGGGGAGGGGGTGACCGCCGCCCAATCCTTAGAGGACAGTGGTCTCTAAAGCAATGGGGAATGTGACGTAAACTTGTTAAAACATTTTTGATCCCCCAGTTTATGATCAAGTGTCCATCCTTTGTTACAGGCCTAAACGCAACATTTTTTTAAACTCCCCAGACTGTTTGCAGCTAGGACATACGTATATAGGAGTAGCCAAAACAAGTAAAGGCCTTCTAGGGTCTGCTGCCAAATTCTCAAAAAAATCAAACTCGGTTACCATTTAAAGTTTTGTAGTTCACTACGAAATTCATTCAGAAATCTTCTGTTACTTTGTGAACAAGCGAAAGGTTGCAATTGTGACTTTTAAATGACTCTTAACTATGCAGCAAGCTCCACGTGGCGACATAACGGGTAGGCTAGACTCCACAAGCCTGCAACTGACAAGGGATCGAAGTCAACTTTCCAAAAACGTTCATTACTGTATAAGCTACAGCATACAATATAAAAAACACTTTTGAAACGTTACCTGTTTCTGTTGCTGTACTCGGTTGAATATATACGGACTCAGACAGATACCGGTGAAGCGGTGGTTTACTGCTTGTTATCAACCTTTGCAGTCGCGATGCAATGAATGTCGAAGATCTAAACATTCTCAATTTGCACCTTTTTCAACAAACTGCACGACAGAAGGTAGCCACTTGCTTTTTAATGCGACTCGATACACTAATGGTTTTAGAAAGAAAGAATCAGAACTGGGGCTTAGGCTGTCGGGTAAACCGTAGGGTCTTCCCCAACAGGTCGCTGTGGTTTGGCCGTCGCCATTGAGCAGAATGCGTCACCATTGTTGTGTAGAATTTCAATCGTTCAATGTAAAACAAAACATTTTTTTTACTTTTCCAAATTTTTTCAGCTGCCACAGTTATACACTTACGTGACAAAAGAATAAAGACGATCGCATCGAAGCAATTGTGGGTAATCCTTTGCTCATAGAACAACATAGAAAATCGGTGGAACATAACGAGTTTGCTGGTTGAAATAAATTGCAAAAAAGTAAACTTTTTAGACAATTAACATTTGCTTTATTCCATATTTTGTCATATGACTTCCAAGAATTTAGGCAGCCACCATTTGCATTGAAAGTCACTGAAATAAGTTTTCAACGAAATATACTCGGATTTTTGGTCTTAAAAGATTCCATTTCTTGTATTTTTAATGAAAACCAGTTGTTTTCAATTACATCAAGGCTTTGACTTTGACGGGGTTATTGAAAGACCATTATCTTATTGTTTTTGGAAATTTATGTCACAATTGCAACATAACAAGGTTTGCAACTGCAATTGCAATAAAATGTCTTGCTTGAAAATAAATGGTCTTTGCAAAGAATCATTAGTTGTTTCTTTACTTGCCTGGGAACTTTCCACAAATAATTCGACAGAATATTCAGCGTTGATTGACTTCGCACACAACGCCAGTTTGCAGATGTCATTAGGCCCAACCAATAGTCGGCCTACCCAGGCCTACCATTCTTTTAAATTTAGTCGGCTTTGTTATCTTATTGTCCTTGTCAAAAACATGCGTTGTAGACTTGCTGCAACCAGATTTTCTTGTAGTTTCAGCAAACAAATGACTCGCTAGACCCAAATATTTTATTGCTTCTCGTCTCTTTCTGGTCGTTTTTGTGTTTTCGGCATTGAAACTGAAACAATGATATTTTCCATTTCTTCCTGAAATGTTGTTACTTTTCTATCATAGAAAGGTAGGAAATAAATTGAATTTGTTAGGAATTGCGTTTTTGCTGACGCGATTTCTAGAATCCCGCCAAAACAGCAAGATTTGTTCAATCAATGTTAGAATGCTAGTTTTGGAGCCGCCATTTTGTTATTCATCGTCCTAATACTTTTGTAACGTAAGTGTAAGTTGGCTGGGCTGAATATTTGAACAGTGTAAAAATAGTTATTTAATGATCACAATTGGCAAGGCAGGGCTATTCTTTACTAAAATCAGGGACTGACTTAAAACCTAGCGCACACTAGCGATTTTTGTCGCCAACGACGGCGATTTTTGGCAATAGATGTCCTGGGTATGACACAAAACAGCATCCGTTTTGTGGAGTTTCGATGTGGGATAATGAGGTGACCATTTGCCGAAATTACCTCCAGGTCACCCTTGAGAAGGTGTACTACCTGTCAGCTCCCCCCCCCCCCACGAGACTTTGAAATACCGGGTTGGCGTCCGGCGGGGGATTGTCTGTCTCATGGGTGGGGGGGACTCTTTAGCTTGGTTGCCAACCCCCTAGTGATGGTGTCACAATGAAAATTCCCGAAGGAAGGAAAACCTAGATCAAACCAACCTCATTATTTCTTTTTTATCATGATGCAGCAAATGAACTCTATTGATAATAGAGATAAAAACGTGAATGGGGCTGGAACCACTCAAGGTGAAAGCTCCTCGTTCGGCAGGGGTTCTTGGGGACAGCAGCGAGGCCCAGGTCGTCAGCATGCTACTGCTAGAACGAGAGTTAAGTGGACAAAGGAGCTTAATAAGATCATAATGGAGTGCTATTATCGCAGTGAACCTAAAAAATGCGGATTTTGGAAAAGGATGTATGCAATTTGACAAAAAAAGGACTGTTTGAAGCATCTGAACAACAGGTTGCGGGACAGCCACTTTGTATAAGGAATAATCAATGGCTATCTAACTTAGAATTAGAAGAAATTAAGAGAAAGAGAGAGGAAGGAAATGCAAGGGATGATCCCGAGTTGGGCGGGGATGATGGCAGAGCAACAGAAGATCAGCGGACGAATGTGAACAGTGCACAACCACTATATGAGAATAGTCCCAATGAACAGGATGAAATAGCTGAGGCAAATGGGTATCGGTTAACAGAAGCTGTGAGTGAAGACCAACAAGAGATCATAACGATCTTGAACAAGAAACTGGAAGATGTGAATCAACTAAAGCCAGTGAACTTACGCAACATCGATAGAAGATCATTGAAGAAGAAAACAAAGGAAGTAAATGAAGTGATTGGTAAGCTAGAATCTGAAACCATCTGTGATACGAACAACTTGATTTTGGCTGGAGCAAACGCAGTTGCTGATCTGATAGAAACAAAAGTGCCAAAGAAGAAAAACGAGAAAGGATCGTGGTGGAAAAGAAGAATTCAATATCAGATTGATTCATTGAGAAAAGATGTTAGTAAGCTAGACTAGTGGAATAAAAATAAGTTAAGAAAAGAGAATGTGAGAGAAAAATTGAGTGAAAAATAGAAAGTTAATACTAAAGGAATAAGAGCTGTGACTGAAGAACTGAAGCAGAGAGTTAAGGCAAAGAGTGCAAAGATTAGAAAATATGAAGACAGGAACAATGCATTTTAACAGAATCGATTATTTCAATCAAATCAAAAACGTTTGTTTGAGAAGCTAGAAGGCTGCGAGAGACAAGATGATATAACAGCTGATGCAGAGGAAAGTAAGATCTTTCGGGCTAATATATGGGACCATGGCGCCAAGCACAATGAAAAGGCAAAGTGGCTGGAAGATGTAAAAGAAAAATACAAGAGAATAGACCAACGAGATGAATTTTCTATATCAAGGGACACTCTAACAACTCAGTTGAAGAAAATGCCTAAATGGAAAGCGTGTGGACCAGAAGGTGTGCATGGTTATTGGTTAAAAGAATTCAGCAGTCTCCATGAAAGACTCGCAGTGCAACTTGATGCATGCTTAATTTCAGGAGAAGTGCCAGTATGGATGACAAAAGGCCGGACGAGTTTGATATTGAAAGACAAGATCAAAGGAAACATCGTGACGAACTTTAGACCTATTACATGCTTACCAATGGTATAGAAGCTTTTGACAGGAATAATATCTGAGAAAATTTATAACCACCTAGAGAGTAAACATCTACTTCCAGAAGAGCAAAAGGGATGCCGAAGAGGAACCCGTGGCACTAAAGATCAGCTTTTAATTGACAAAATGGTAATGAAGAATTGCAAGAGCAGGTTAACCAATCTATGCCTTGCTCGGATTGATTACAAGAAGGCATATGATATGGTTCCTCATTCTTGGTTGATTCAATGCATTCAAATGTTTAAGATTTCAGATAAAGTAATAACATTGTTAGAAAAGTCAATGGAGAGCTGGAGGGTTGAGCTGACTTCAGGAAACGACAAGCTTGGGGAAGTGAACATTCGAAGAGGAATCTTTCAAGGTGACACACTGTCTCCTTTGTTATTCGTTTTGGCATTGATCCCCTTGACTATTTTGCTTAATGGTCTAGATCAAGGTTATAGAATGGGGAAAAACAGAGGAAGGATCAACCATCTTCTATTTATGGATGACTTAAAATTGTATGATCGTAATATGCAAGAGCTAGATTCGTTAGTTCAGAGTGTCCGAATATTCAGTACCGACATAGGGATGGATTTCGGAATTGAAAAATGTGCAGCAGTGAAGATCTCAAGAGGAAGAGTTGTTGGAAGTGAAGGTATCGAGTTACCAAATGGAGACACGATGAAAGGATTGGAAGAGAATGATGGCTACAAATATTTAGGTATTCTAGAGTGCGATAAGATCAAGAGCAGTGAAATGAAAGAGAAAATAAAGAAGAAGTACGAGTTCCTCAGCAGAGTGAAACTCATCTTGAAATCAAAGTTAAATGCTGGAAATGTGATCATGGCCGTCAACGGCAGGGCAGTGTCTCTTAATTGGTATGGTGCTGGTATCGTTGACAGGATAAAAGCAGAGTTAGAGGAAATGGATCGGAAAACAAGAAAGATATTCACCATGAACAGATCTTTACACCCGAGATCAGACGTGGACAGACTGTACCTCAAGAGAACCGAAGGTGGACGGGGATTGCAATGTCTGGAAGAAGTTGCGAAGCTTGAAGAGCTCAGCCTAGCATTCTATCTAAGCTAGAAGGAGGAAAAGTTGTTGAATGAAGTTGTAAAAGAAGGTCTGTTTCGGGAGACAGAAGACCCAACAGAGAGGAAAAGACAAAATACAGCAGAAAAAAAACAGTTCGAGGAAAAGGTATTGCATGGGCAATTTGAGAGGGGAACAAAAAAAGTCAGAGACCAAAAGGGGACTTGGCTATGGCTGAAGAAAGGACATCTAAAAAAGGAAACAGAAGGGCTTATTGCTGCTGCTCAGGATCAGGCGTTGAGGACAAATTGGATAAGGAGAAATATTGACAAAGAGAACATATCAGCAAAATGCAGATTGTGTGGTGAGAATGATGAGACAATTGCACATGTTTTGTCAGAATGCAAACAACTTGCTCAAAATGAATACAAAAAAGTGAGGCATGACAAGATAGCTGCAGCAATACACTGGCACCTGTGCAAAAAGGATGGTTTTCAGTGTGGGGGAAAGAGCTACCAGCATTTTGTTAGTATAGATAGTAGTGTCCTTGAGAGAGTTTGGAGAGGGGAAGTGAAGAAAGTCGTTTTATTGTCAGTTATAATTGGTGCATTAGGCTCGGTGACAGGAAGACTCCAGAAGGAACTGGAAAAACTTGATTACAGAAATGGACTTGAAATCATCCAGAAAGCATGTTTACTGGGATCTGCAAGAATAATCAGGAAAGTGCTGGGCACTCCAGGAAAAGACTGAAAAGAAACAAGGAAAACACTCAGATGGAGCACTCACTATCTCAGGATCTGAGACAGAACTTGATAATGTTTAAATCCAGTATCTGATGCTGTGTACAATTGCAATACTAATAATAATAAAAATAATAATAATAATAATAATAATTATTATTATTATTATTATTATTGTCAAAGATAAGACCAAAAACACATTCCTACTCATAAGTATGAGTGTGCCGTCAGATGAGAATGTTTCTGCAAAAGTGTTTGAGAAACTTTCCAAATATAAAGACCTGGAGATTGAAATTGGAAAGATGTGGCTGGCACCTCAGAAAAAAGACCATTCCAGTAGCAGTAGGTGCCCTAGGACTGATAAAGAAAGGAACTGCTAATTATGTAAAGCAAATTCCAGGTGATCTATCCCTTAACGAGGTCCAAAAAATAGTCCTGAACAGCACTGCACACATACTGAGAAGAACGCTTTCTATTTGAACAATTCATTTAAAGATATACTTTTTTTGTGATAATGACTTTATTTTTATAAACAATTTATATATATACAGTATAACAATGCTCTTAAATTACTCCAACTTAACTCACCCTAGGTCACTGGTAGTGACTCGGTGTTTGATCTAAAAATAGCAAATCAAAAGAAATTGACCAAAATAATAATAATAAAAATAATAATGATATAATCGAGCCTATCCACTACAAGTGTGGCTCTTCAACTCTGAGATTAAAAGCAAAGTTAATTTACAAGTTCAAAAGAACAGTTACATAATTATAAAAAGAAATAATGTTTTTTAGTCCAATTTTTTGTTTGTTTTTTCAAATAAGTGCTTGTAATTTAAGGGAGAGGGAGAAAACTATACAAAGTAAAGGAGAAACATTGCTAGAAGTGACTGTATGACAAGATTTTTATGGTTCTCACTTTCATTCACAAAACGAGCTGTTGCATTGATCCAATTCTTCATTGTATGATTTCATGGAAACGCATCCAGATCCTAAAAGCCGTAAACAGAAATCCATTGCCTCATAGAAATATGGTGAAGACCGTAAAGCGGCAAGCTTGTAAAAGGCCCTCTACTAGGCCAACTTCAAAAGTTCCCCATTTCAGACGATTAATTACCACAAAAAGCTCCATGCTATAAGAAGACGATAACATGCTATAAGGTAGTGGGGCATGATGCCTATACCCCCATCTTTTTCATCAGGGACAGACTTACCGGGTATGTGGGGATACGACATTCAAACCTCCCAGATAACTCGAAAACTCGCTATTTCGAACTATTCAATTTGGTCCCTTGGATTTTCGATTTATCCGGAGTTTACTGTACTATTTTTAACATGACAATGCAAAAAAGGAGATAACTATTGCGTTAACAACTTTGTATAGCTGATAAGCGTAAGGAAAGAAGGGTTATCGAGTCATGTATCCAGGCAGCGCGTATCACGTTACAAGAAATTCGGCTTAATTACCCAGCAAAAGAGAAGGTTTTTTTGAAACAGTAACAGATTAAAGGCAAAAGTAATAATGATAACAATTGAGGAGAGTTTGTTTGCCAATAGCAAGTTTGATGCATTTGTTAGTTCTGAAATAAGACAGCACTACTGCACTATCAAGTAGAATTTCTTAATAATTGGCATTTCATTGCCTTTGGTTTTCTGAATACAGCCATAAAAATAAAAAATATCAAAATAGATTTCAAAACCCTCTTGCTTTCTAATATGAGCATGTTCGCAAAACTGCTTTGCACTGTAAGATTTAGGCATTAACTTTTAATAATTTATATATTTGAATTATGAAACGCATTTTTTATCGATAGTTATATATGCATTTTACTTAGCATCTGTCTCTAAAAATATCTATAATTGAACACAAGCTACGAATTTCTAGAAAAGTTTTGAAAGAATATAGTTGCCAGGAGAGATCAAGACTAGACGAAGAATGGTTGACAACTTTCCATTCTCAGGAGACAAAGGGCCTCTTTTTCGCATTCGGATCTCGAGCTGGGTTCCACTGGCAGCGCTTGTGGCAAAGGGTGTATTGTATTATTTATCGGCAGCAAGGATGTTGCGGAGATCTGTGCAAAAGCTTTTGCTGCCTGGTAGAAGCATTTCCAAAATGCTGAACAACTGTCGACCAATCGCAACTTCTGCTACTATGCTTCAAAAACATCCTGAAGGTAACATGTTGCGCGATTAATCGATGTAATGACGCTTCTTGTTAGACACGTGATGATGTTATGATTTTTTCGATTCTCTCTCTTACCCCGACTAAATAATGGAATATCATACAACAAGGTAGCAAAGTATTCAAGCCTTGATGTCGATAGGGCTAGCAAATTTTAAAAGAAGACTAAAACTTAATCTTAATTAAATAAACAATATTAGTTATCTAAATTGGTAACTTATTTTGATCCAAATTGAACCCAACACCTCTAAAATTCAATCTGCTTGCAGAGCTATGCTGTCATTCCAGCAAATGCTGGGCTATTTGATGCTTGTCACTGCAAGGTTTAATATCTGCGTGCTGGAGACCATTGCTCTAATTCATTGTTTCTTCTGTTCTTGTTGTTTATTTTTAATGTTTTATCGCTTATGAATGTTGGTGAGTCTGAAATAATTTTCAAGATTTGGAGGGTCTGGGGCAAAATTGAAAGGGGAAGTTCCTCTGCCAGCGAAGTAAATTTCAAAACAGGTCTTCCAGTCATTTTCTTGCAATCCTTCGAAACGTTTTACTATTTTCAAGGAATTCATTATTTTATGAGGCTCCCTAGACCACAAAGCACTCGGTCCATTTCCACCCCCTGCCCCCCTTGTTGGTCCTGTCTGGTTTTTTTTTCAGAGCTGTTTTTATTTGTTTGAAATCATTTATAAAGAATCACATGATTATGTTAGAACTGTGTAACAGTAAAATCAATTAAATATCACATCCCTAAACTGATTCTTCTCACACAAAGTGCTATCCAAAAAAGACTGTTACATTGATGAGCTGTCCCATAAAAGGGGCAATACATTAACAATGCTGTGATGTAGGGAGAGAGGGTGGACAGAATTAAAGACTTTTAAGACAGATGCCCCATAAAATACAAATTTCTCTACAGTACTCTAAGCCTCTCTTGAATGAGTGCCCTACTTGAAAGCACCCATCCTATCAGGAACAGTATTAAATATTCGCTTAAACTCAAGGATTTACAATTTATGTAGTATAGATTTAGGGATATATGTGTCAGGATAGCTTAATTTATTTGTAGTAGTTTAACTAAAGAATAGATATTTTGTTAAAACAGTTCACAAAGTGCCTAGAAGAGAATAGGGCAAAAGTGCCACTATTTTTAGAAGGGCCAAGTCACAATGGGAGCTAACAGAAAAAACTTTTAAGAATCTTTTTTATTTATAATTTGATTTGTTAAGATCAAGAAATAGGTTAATTTAAGCCTACATGAGGATCATCCAAGTATCCTAGCCATAATTCAAGACCCTGAACAAACTTTTTCTCTCAATGAAGTTAGGGCTAGAGATTTATGGCTCCAATGATATTGCCTTGTGGTAGTAAATCAACAACCATGACTCTTATTTAACTAAAACTCTCTCTAGTAATCAGCTAATGTCTCTTTGGCAAGTGAGGAATTAGCTTTAACTAATTCCATCAATGATAGCATTTGAAATTTAATATTCCTCGAGAATGGAAAATTAGGGCTTATTGTAACCAGCAAGACTAAACCAAACAAAATAAAACAAAACATAGCAAAACAAAATGGAATGATATATAGCAAAATACCCAAAATACACAGTTAAAAACAATAAGTCCAACATACTTAAAACCTATCGAAGGTGTCCATATCCAATGATCCTGTACTACCAAATTTCAACATTATTTCTGGAGCGCTGTACTGGTCAATCTGGAGCACTGTACAGGTCAATATGGAGCACTGTACCAATGTTACTGGTGAAAAATAAAAAGTACTCTTGTGCTCTTGTGACCCTTTTAAGGAACACCGAAAAAGAAGATTTAGTGGCCTTAGACCTTTGGCAACAGAACAAATAAGAAAATACCAAAGTCTGGTGAAGCTCTGGGATAAATTGTGCACCAGTTGCAGCAAAAAGGTTAATCAGCAACTGCAAGAGACATCAGTATTTGAGATACAAGAAGCAGGTTGCAACAATGGAAGTGCAAACTAAGCACTTATCAAATGGTAAAGGTGTAATGGCAACTACTGAACCAAAATGATTATCAATCAATAGTATCACTTGTTAAACAAATTTTTAGAGATGATACAATCAGTAGAGTAATGCCAAGAAAAAGGGTAGCATTGGCTGTATCAAAAAAGGGTAGTAATTATTATAATCTTCAAGAAAGATTAGTTTAAGGAAATGTTGCACCTAAAAGAGTTTTTGTACTTGCTGGAGCAAGTGGCATTCATTCTCCATGTGTGTGAATTGCTCATAACAATGGAAAATTGCAAGATTCACTAATGGGGAAAATTGTAGCTCATGACAATCCCCTCACCCTCTTATTCATTATAGCAATGTATTTGCCAAAAATAATGTGCAGCCCACCCTTGCCACAATGATGTTTTCCACAAAGTGGGTGAGCTGCTCTGGTATAGGGCTTCTTATATAAATACTCATTTAGTATTACAATGACAACATGAGCATTGATAAGATACTGTTTAAGCAGTGGCTCGCAACAGACAGGTCAACCCGGAAACAATCACACTTAAAGAGGATTTCTTTGATAAGTTAAAGGTAAACAGGACCATCTTGAATAGCATGACTTTATCGCAAGCATCAATCAGATATTTGGAAAACAGAATGGAGGCTCTTCAAGAAGGACAATTTATTTTGATTGGTGAATCTGAAAATTATCAATTTGTCGTTCAAGATGATGCTCAGTTCTTTTACTGGAATAATTCAATGGATACACTATACCCTTATTGTGTATTATTATAAAAAGGAGGAGAAACTTCAGCAAAGCAATTTTGTCACAATATCTGGTTGCACCACACATGGCACAACTGCAGTCCATTTATTTTGGAGGCACTTAATAAAGCACTTAAAAAGATGATTTTTACCTTAAAAATTTGCCTTTGCCTGCATGAAAAAGTTTTAGTCTCTGCAGAATTGCATTTTTTTCCACTTGTCATGACAAGGGTCAATCTGATGGAATTGGAGGAGCAATTAAACATGAAGCATCTCATTCAAGCCCTCAACCCCCTACTGATAATCAAATCCCAACAAATTTGCAGCTGTTCAAATTTGTTAATGAGAATCTGAATAGAGTTAATGTAAAATTATTAACAAATGTTGATTGGAAGGTGGAGAATGAACTTTTGCAGGAGAGAGGTATGAAAAGGACAAGAACAATAGGAGGAACTCTAAAGTAAACAGCTTTATGCATGTTTCAACATCTTTGATACCCGTATCTACATATGACTTTTGTGATGAATCACAAGAAGTATGTATTGGGAAGTCAGGTCAGAAAACCCTAGATACTGGACTTATTAATGACTATGTTACAGTAGTATATGATGAAAAGTGGTGGGTCGCTTATGTTATTAAAGTAGCTCCAGCCAAGAAGTCATTGGCAATGAGTTTCCTTCCCCCTGGCCCTAACCCTTTTATTCTTCTCCCAAATTTTCCAAACATTCTAACTATTGACTTTTCAGATGTGCTCACATTTTCTATATTTTATTTCATGATTGAAAAGGAAAAACCGAAACGAAATCCCTTATTTATCTACAGTATACTTGATACAATTAAGCTAATTTAGAGAGTTGTTTATCAAATATTAAGCGTTTTCTCTCTAATGAGCACCCTCTCTCAAATAAGCACCCCATTTCAACAAGGGTCCCCTTTTTGAGCAGAAATTTGAATGACTATGGTATTGCCAATTTAGACATTCAAGATGCCACAACAGTATTTATGCAAATTGATTAGGGTTCTGAAATTGGAGGATTTGGAGTGTGATTTCTGAGCTGGGTTATTTTATTGATGGATTTTTATTTTTTTCAATTAATGCCCCTTTCTAATGAGCACTCCTCTCAAATGTGTACCTCCACTCTGAGGCCAAGAATTAAATGAGCGCCTTCAGTGCTAATTAGACCGACTATAGTAAACCTTTTAGACTCTTTAAAAGTAAGCTTTTTAAAATTGCAAATATGATTATTGGAACCTGATTCCTATGAAAATGTTTACCAAAATTTTTACCTGTTGCTACTTAACTTAGATAATATCTTGTTTTCAGCTCCACAGAAGAAGTTGTTTACACCTGGCCCACTTGGTGTGAGCTATGAAACAAAGGCAGCTATGCTTCAAGATCTTGGATCAAGAGATGTCCAGTTTATGAATACTGTGAAGTTTATCAGAAGTAGACTTCTAGAACTTGCTTGTGTAAGCCCAGATACATTTGCTACAATACCAGTACAAGGAAGTGGAACATATGCAGTGGAAGCTGTTCTTAGCACAGTTGTTCCTAGAAAGAATGGTAAAGTGCTAATTCTTGTTAATGGTGCATATGGCAGAAGAATGATCCAGATAGTAGACTATATGCAGTGTGACAAGGTGTGTTGTAATTTCTGCTATGGTTAAGGGCAATGAATATCAAGCTAGCAGTTTCCATGCTTCTCTTAAAAGAGATCAATCAAGCATTTCATGTGTTGTGATTAAAGGTCCATGTGTCATAAATTTATATGATATTTTCTTTCATTTTTAGCCATATTTGTTTGTTTATGACCACATTTTTGTATTACTTGAGTAATGAGGTAATTTTAAACTCTCTTATGTTTTGTTTATTTTCTTATTTGAATTTGTCCATACTCTCTATCAAGAATTTTTCTGGCAGTTTTTCATAACTTTCTTTGCTTCTAGATTATACTTGAAGGGGCTGAACATAACAAGGCAGATGTAAATGAAGTTCGTAAAATTCTTCAGGAGAATCCAGATGTAACAACTGTTAGCATGGTTCATTGCGAAACAAGTTCTGGTGTCATCCATCCAGTTGAAGAAGTGGGCAAGGCCATTTCTGAAATAAGTCCTAATGCCATCTTTTTTGTTGATGCCATGAGTAGTTTTGGCGGCATTCCATTAGATCTCAATGAAGCCAAAATTGATTTCATGGTGAGTTCTGCAAATAAATGCATTGAGGGCGTTCCTGGCTTTTCATATGCAATTGGAAACATTGAAAAATTGATGAAGTGTAAAGGATTCGCCCGAAGCCTTAGTCTCGATCTTGTTGAGCAGTATGACAGTTTAGAAAAAACCGGTCAGTTTAGATTCACACCACCTACCCATGCAATGCTTGCATTCAAGAAAGCTCTTCAAGAGTTGGAAGAGGAGGGTCAAATTCCTGGTCGCTCTGCAAGGTAAGCTGTTTGTCAATATCTAACGCTGTTTGTTAATATCTAACAATGATGCTAATTAAAGGAGTCCCATTTGTTTAGAAAGTATGTTACTGCTTAATTTTCTTTTGTTATGTATTTATTTTATCAACTTTCTCTTTGACATTCTTTGAGAAATAATAGATTCACTTCAGAAGAAGTAAACTCATTATGTCAAACATTTTGATTATTATTCCAGGTTTGTGCTATGAACATTGTAAAAAAGCCATTGATTTATTAAGTTTATTATTTCTAGCTGTCCTTGTTTTTGTTTTTCAGTTAACACAAAAATTTGCTTAAAGAGTCATGAAAAATGTTAAACAGTCTAAATACAGAATAGGTTTTATTTTAGAGATACTTCACGATTTTAGTGGATGCTTGAGAAAAAGTTAGTTTTGCTTCCATTTTCAAGTATTTCCATTATATTCAGTTTAAAAAAGAAAAACAGAATGTTCAAAAACAGAAATAAAAAAGACTGGCAAAAAAATTTCTTTTCTTTAAAAATTATCTTGTACAGCTGGGGTTATGGTTACGAAAATAATGTTTTGTAGACTTTATGTATTAGGATGTGAGGAATTATCGTCTTTGAAGATTAAATTTCGCAATAGACAAGATATCGAGATCTCTATGGCCATTTTCATAAAAATAGCGAAGGACCATCAGTCAATTTTTGCGAAAGTTTTTAAGTATATAGCAAAAGTAGAATAGATATGCGACTTTTTATGTATTAATTGTCTTTGGAGTGATTGAAGAGCAAAAATTGAGATCTGTGATTACTGAGATCTGTGATTACTCTTTTTTCAACTTAAACCTTTTTTACGTCAAATCGTTTTTTAAAAGAAAGGAAACAACTCCCCAAAAATCTTTAAAATCATATCTTTTAGATATCAGATAAAAGATATCAGGGAAAAGTTTTTAAATCAAATATGAAATTTTGAGTTTTTGGTTTTTATTTAACTTTTTGCTATGTAGAATAGCAAGAATTATAAGGTATTTCATGACCGTACGCTCATCTTTACACCTTGATAGCCAGCTATGTTATTCTCAACTAATGGAAAATTTGCTCAATAGATGTTAACTTAAAAATTTCTTCCTTCTAAAATCCTTTTAAAGTTACATTCGATTTGATAAATTTACATCGGATCATAAATCAGTTATCTTTTACTTCTTTCACTTCTTTCTGAAATTATAGGGCTAAAATATATTTTTATGAGGTCGCCACAATATTTTCTTTACGCAGAAGTAAGTTATACAGGAGTATATTGGCAGTATTGATGCCAAATTGTAATATTTTGAGAAATATTACGTCATACATTTCGACTAGATAAATGCTAGTGGATAAAGTGAAATTTTATAGTGCGGTTAAACAATATGATTTCATCTTTCGTTCTCCTGAAGCTGTTGTTTTAAAATCGATATCAAGTTGTTTCTTCATAAGACTGATTCGTTTTTGGATATCTTTACGTTTGATATGAAGCCAGTAGATACTGTTTGCTATTCATTATTATCCATTTTTTGACTCGATTCACAGCATGTTTTGTTTTCATTATTTGTCCATTTTGTGATTCAATGAGCTACTCCTTAACTTTGCATATACTTGCATTGGTTTGCTCTCTTAAATTTCTGTTTTAAAAGCGATTCCAATTTTCGAACGTCGCCATAGCTTTCTATCATGTTTTATCATATCATGATTATATGAAAATTCTTTTTTAGATATCAGAAAAATCGCGAAGTTCTTCGCCACGGTATGAGAGAAATGGGGTTCAAAGAGTTTCTTGATGATAGCCACAAAGGGTATATCATAACCTCTTATTTCTTCCCAGAAGATAAGAGCTTTGATTTTAAACAGTTCTATCAGAAACTAAGTGACAAAGGACAAGTAATATACCCAGGAAAAGTCACCAAAGCAGACTGTTTTAGAATTGGCAACATTGGGCATCTGTTTCCATCTGATATGGAGTATTTGCTGACTTGCATAAAGGAGGTATGCGCGGAAATGAATGTAAAGTTGCCAATTCAGTCATAACTTATCGGCTGTTTTTGTTTAATAAAGTGAATGCAAGTATATGAAAGAGAATATTTTCATAATAGTAAGAACATGACAGACATATAGAATATAATACGTCTTTGGATTATAATATTTTTGCATCAAGTATCAAGACTGGTATGTCTTGAAATATTATCTAAAAAATTGATGTTGGGGATTACTTGTAGAGAGATGCCATTGTCTAAATAATTGGACTGTATTTTTTAGCCCATGTTTTAACCTATTGACAAGTTTTCCTTATCTCTATACCTGTTTTAGATATATTGATTATATGTAGATGAGAATAATCAAATACACATTTAGTACCACAAAGTTTGAAAATTTCTAGATAATCGAAACCATATTATCCCGGTATGATTTTCTCCGCTTTTCTGTGCTATTTTAAGTTATATGAGAATTTTGAGAATTTGCTTAGAATCAAGTTTGGTATACTGTTGTGTTGTATTAAGTTAATTTGGATGACAAGGTAGCATTGTATTTTAATAAAAAAAATTTTCAAAATTTTAAAAAACTTATCTGTATTCAGCAATCTCTAGTACGAGAAGGCGGAAATAATTCAAGGCGACTGATTCATTGTGAGTTGTATCGACAGTGATACTCAACCTTCTACTGACTTATTATAGCAATTGCCTTTCACAAAGTTCAGCAACCTGATTTTTATTGGTCAAGAAAAAAGTGTCAAAGCTTCCAGTAAAGATGACCTTTTAAAAAACACAATGCCGCCAATCAAACCAATATGTTTTAGTGTTGTTGGAAGTAGGCCTAGGTTATGGTCGATGTTTACAAAATGCTAGATCGATGCGACTGAAAGTATTCAACTGCGAAAAACTGTTGATTTTACCTGAATTATATGAGATTTTTCGATTTTGGTTTGACAAATAATCTGGACAAGAGAGCTTCCAGCAAACTGTTTTTGGTGGATGACTCAATTCAGAAAAAAATTCATTTTTAAGGGTATCAGGCAATCTTTAAGAAATTGTCTCGCGCAAGGTAGCTTTTAATGGCATCAAGTGATGCACAATTATCTTGAATGGATGCCAAGTGGATATCTGTATACCATTTTGCAAATTAAATGTATCTTATCTGCATTGAGGACCAATTTACAAAGATTGTGCTCTGTGAGAAAGCTTTGAGGAATTCAACCAACAAGCTGCTGGTTTTCTCAGAAATATTGAATTCCGCTGCTGACCTGGTTTCCTTTACATCCTCTTGCAAACTTTTCACATTCATTTCTCCATCGAGTCATTAAACCCTTAATATTTGATGAACGACTCTCTAAATTAGCTTAATTGTATCAAGTATACTGTTAATAAGAGAATTTGTTTCGGTTTTTTCTTTCCAAGCATGAAATAACATATAGAAAAATAATTATAAATGCATTGAAAATAACCCGGAGATCCTTTAAACATTGGAGAAAAACCTTTGGAAATCCGTGCTTCAAAATACGTAAAACATATCAGACCATTAAGACAATTTAGCGTAATAATACGGATTTTGAGCATCATTATAATCTTGTTTAACATTTCTAAGTTTAAAATAAAGATCTGCCTTAGGGCTGTTACGTCTGTATCTGATTGCGGCATATAACATCATTAAGATCAAACGGAAAATTAAAACAAGTTAATTTAGATTAGTTGAAGTCTGTGATCTAGTATTTCAATGTTTTCATACAAGAATTATTTTCTTGACAGTTGTTAATTGTTAGCTCGATAAGATTAGAGGAAGTACTAGCCCCACCCTTGTTAATGCTAAAAATAGTAGCCAATTTATACTTTTGCTATTGTTTTTTGCAACATTTTCCGCAAAGGGTTCCCTTGGAGACACCAAGTTACCCGATTGACAAAGGGAATTTGGAAGGCGATTGCAAATTTTTTAAGCATGTAGTTCTCAGCCAGTGTAAAAGCAAGCAATCGGAAACGTGTGAGAGTTTTTTCTGAAAAATTATGAAGTAGCTTCTCGAATTATAGTGTACAGAATCCACAGAATCGCACTGGTGTATAGTTATTCTTGAGCAAGGGCTTGATGTCTTTTTGTCCATGACGTACATTGACTCACCAAGAAGGCGACGTAGCACACACCTTTTCGTCAGTGTGCTTTGGTTCACAGTTTCTTTGAAAAAATGTTATGGTTAATGTGTTCTGTTCTTGACTGATAGCTTTGTGTTAGCTTGATATGTTCCAAATAAACGCGTCATTCGCTGTTTTGAATTTCTTTCTTGTTTTAAAGCCTGCCCCTCGACGTATGATTCTTGCTCGAGTTTGCCCACCAAAGCCGATATCCACAGCTACGTGGCTGCTATTTGCTCAATAATGTTTAAAACAAAAATTCGGTGAATAAAATGCAGTAACCCCCCAGGAAGATGTGCGGCAGCGCTTGACCACGACAGATGTTCTGACAATTCTTTGATTCGTTTGGCCAGGTTACAAAACATCGTCCAACAATGATGGATAATGTTATACCAAGATAACATAAGAGAAATATGCTAGTTCTCTTATTTTATCTCGGTTTTACGGATGTTTTATTCGTCTGGCGAGGCCCTTAACAAATATTCAGTGAACAAATGTTGCTTTAAATTTGCACCATCACGCATATTAGTCACAACATGTGTTTCAAAATTCTCTCAAAATAATCTCACGATTATGAGAATAGAGGCGATTTTTATCACAAGTGAGACAGAGCTAGTCATTCTATGAGATCTCCTTTTTTGTAATGACCTTTCTAGATTTTAGACATTGTATTAATTTTAATTGACATGAACAATACTAACCATAAACGGTTAGAGATGATTCAATAAAGCGATAATAAAGCGACGTAAATAGTTGTATTCATAAACAAAACGTTTAGTTAGGAACGCATTTCACGATTCATTCCATTGCTTCAATAAGCCGCAAATTTATCTTTTCAAGGCTCTCTTTAAGGTTATATCTTCTCAAAGTGACGTCACGGACCACAAATCCTTTATTAGTCCCTGTGCATAAGAGCGCGGTACGCTAGGATCCAAGGAAGCACGAGGTGTAGTCACATTGACATGGCAGAAAAGATTGACTTTCATACTGTTTCCATTCTGTTTACACGACCACGCTCACCTATTCACTATGAAGCATACTTCTTTTGTTTCAATTCCTCTGCGTAGTCAAGTATTTGTTTGGAAATCTAAAATTCTTGCGATTTCGTAAGCCTACTTGGGAGAAAAAGTTTTTGGGAAAAAATAGGTAGTGATAGGATCCAAGTAAAGAGCCTACAAAATCTGATGATAGAAATATTTAAACGTTTGTCATATAAAAATCCATCCTTCGTGTGTAAAATATTTTCGAGCGTAAGGAACTAACTTATAATCTACGATCAGGTTCACTATTACAACTGCCAAAAGCCAAAACCACAACCTACGGCACCAGTTCGTTTGCTTTCAGGGGCAGCATCCTCTGGAACAGCCTGCCTGATACTATAAAAGACTCACCGTCTGTTGATGAATGCAAAATATTGATAAAGAAATGGAAGGGTGATAACTGTAAATATAAAAATTGACGGTAGAACGACTTCGATGGAAACCCCCTTTGAATTTTTATTTATGTAAATTTTTAATTTTAGCATTAGTATTATTATGTAAATTTTTCTTTTGTGGATAGTTGGTTTAAATTGGCTGTTGTATTTAGCTATTGCGAATACCAACTTTAAATAATGTAATAATAATAATAATAATGATTGTTACTTTGATGTAGACTTTGTGTGATGGCATAAAAGGAAAAACTGTAAACAGAAGGAGGAAGCTGAAGTTGAATTGCAGCTTGAATCGATTAAGGCATATGCATGCCTTTTCTAGGGAAGCGATTGGAAAGATGTAAAGTCCAATGAGGATAAGATGAAATTACTTTTGTCGAGGGTTAACCGAAAGATAAAGATGTAGAATACGTTGATGAGGACTTTTCTTGATATTTAGAACGAGATTCCAGTGTGAAGGCGTATCGGCTTCGCCCGTTTACTCGGGGTGGAATGTCGTACAAGACGTATCGGATCACTTTTCATACCACTTTTTCGAGAGAAAATTTGGGATGTGAATCTGTCCGAATCCAGGAAATTTTAGCAGGATTCTACGTGCATTATCCAATTCCATGCAAACGTACTCCAAAGTTCAGTTTTTGGCATCATGTCAATTCTTTTCATCTGCTTTACGTGCAAAAATTTTAAAAGAAAATTTGGGATGTAAATCTGTCCGAATCCAGGAAATTTTAGCAGGATTCTACCTGTATTATCCAATTCCATACAAACGTAATCCAAAGTTCAGTTTTATGGCATCATGTCAATCCTTTTCATCTGCTTTGCGTGTAAAACTTTTCAAGAGAAAATTTGAGATGTGAATCTATGCGAATCCAGGAAATTTTAGCAGGATTCTACGTGCATTATCCAATTCCATACAAACGTACTCCAAAGTTCAGTTTTTGGCATCATGTCAATTCTTTTCATCTGCTTTACGTGCAAAAATTTTAAAAGAAAATTTGGGATGTAAATCTGTCCGAATCCAGGAAATTTTAGCAGGATTCTACCTGTATTATCCAATTCCATACAAACGTACTCCAAAGTTCAGTTTTTGGCATCATGTCAATCCTTTTCATCTGCTTTACTTGCAAAATTTTTAAGAGGAAATTTGGGATGTGAATCTGTGCGAATCCAGGAAATTTTAGCAGGATTCTACGTGCATTATCCAATTCCATACAAACGTACTCCAAAGTTCAGTTTTTGGCATCATGTCAATTCTTTTCATCTGCTTTACGTGCAAAAATTTTAAAAGAAAATTTGGGATGTAAATCTGTCCGAATCCAGGAAATTTTAGCAGGATTCTACGTGCATTATCCAATTCCATACAAACGTACTCCAAAGTTAAGTTTTTGGCATCATGTCAATTCTTTTCATCTGCTTTACGTGCAAAAATTTTAAAAGAAAATTTGGGATGTAAATCTGTCCGAATCCAGGAAATTTTAGCAGGATTCTACCTGTATTATCCAATTCCATACAAACGTACTCCAAAGTTCAGTTTTTGGCATCATGTCAATCCTTTTCATCTGCTTTACGTGCAAAATTTTTAAGAGGAAATTTGGGATGTGAATCTATGCGAATCCAGGAAATTTTAGCAGGATTCTACGTGCATTATCCAATTCCATACAAAATACCAACTACTCCAAAGTTCAAGTTTATTGAGCATCATGTCAATCCTTATTCATTGTTTACTTGCCAAAAAATTTTAAAAAGAAAATAATTTGGGATGTAAATCATTGTCCGAATCAGGAAATTTAGTAGTGAATTCTACCTGTATATCAATCTCCATACAAACGTACTCCAAAGTTCAGTTGTGCATCATGTGTTCAATCCTTTATCATCTGCTTTACGTGTCAAATTTTTAGAAGGAGAATATTGTGGATGCATGAATCTTGCGAAATCCAGAAATTTTTAGCAGAGATTCTACGTGCATTTATCCAAATTCCATACAAACGTACTCCAAAGTCAGTTTAATTGGCA